TACTTCTGACACTGGGGAGGGTGAGGTGATAGAGGGGCATGAAGATGCGAAGATTAGGCCTACAGTTGACGGGAAGTTCCAGGTCGAGATGTCGGTCAGGTCTATGTTCCATCGGCCAGGTGTTTGGCAGAGTCTTGGTAGTCGTCCGAGCAGCGAGAACGGCAGCGAGGACGGCAGCGAGGACGGCAGCGAGGACGGCAGCGAGGACGGCAGCGAGAACGGCAGCGAGAACGGCATCCACGATTCTTAGAGCGCAGTGGTATTACAATTAGATAGTCTTACGATTCGCACCTGTATCAGCGTATTCACAATGATGCGAGACTAGTATCCGTGAAAGTCGTCATCCGTGCCCTTCCAAATCATTGACTACGTGCGGCAAAGTCGACTTGGCAAAAGCTATATCAAGAGCCGCGCTTCAACTTTACCGGTGGTCGATCTATTTGTTAAGTTGTATGTAGTAGATACAAGATTTGCCGCACCCGCTAGAAATCCTTTTTCTTGTCTCCCAGCCTTGTCTCACTAGGCACCTTATACAAGGAAGAAACTAAACAGGCCTGCAGACTACATTAGCACAAAAATCTGCAAAGTAGGTAACCTAACATTAACGTAGGCTCTAGGGTGTTTAGTTTTCTCCTAGGTTGGCGTGCCAGGCGTGGCTTCGCTTGACCCCGCACACCTGCCCACATGCTGACAGACCAGCTATCTCTTTCCTTGCATCTTCAGCACTCATTCTACTTATCTTATACTCTGACGTCGAGCAAAACTTTCATGTTCTATCTCACCGACCCTGCGGAATGATTCACGATAACTCTGAAGAGGAGGGCCGACGCTACTGCCAGCTTCGCTCAGGAGACGCAAGCGCAGACACGCTGTCCCGCTTTCACTACGAGCCTCTCGAACCCCGCTGCATACGCATCCTCGAACTCCAGCCTGGTCGACGATCAGACCCATTCCTAGGCAAATTCATCATCGCGGACGTCAATAATGACTTCGCATACGATGCGCTGTCGTACATGTGGGGCGATGCCACGCAGACTGATCAGGTCATCGTTGATGGCGCCACTATACCGACGGGCTGGAATTTGACCAGGGCATTGGAATACCTGCGCGATCTTGGAGGATCGAAATCACTGAGGATATGGATCGATGCAATATGCATTAATCAGAATAGTCTTGAGGAACGAGCCGAACAGGTTGCCATGATGCGGACTATCTACCACAACGCTTCCTGTGTGCGAATTTGGATCAATGAACCGTCGATCGACGAAGAGAGTGCTGCCGTAGCAGCTCTCAAAAGCTTCAAACCCAGCCCAGATGCGGAATACAGTGGCCTGGGCGATGAGCCCAGCTTCTGGGATCCTCTGGTTCCGATGTTTAACAATGGGTACTGGAATCGTATTTGGATGTAAGTGGATCAACGGTCGCCTGACTATAGATTATCAGCTGACGCGGTCGCTTTTATGCTGGTAGACAGCAAGAAGTCCGTAACGCACGACGATTAATGCTACACTGCATGAATATTGCTTTTGATGGTATGGCTGTCGCCGACTTCCAGCAAGTCATAGGGGACCTTTTCCCTCTAATTGATGTTCACCCCAATGTCTGGAACTTTCCCACTCTACGTGCATTGAGAGGATATATGGCCGCCCCTTTTAGTTTTAGTTCCGAGATGTTCGCCTTTCATGGTGAGCAAAGACTGAGACTTGGGCTTCTCGCGATTCTTCCTAGATCCAATTATATGCAAGTGTCGGTAGGCCATGATCGCTTGTATGCTCTTATGCACTTGGCTAAAGACTACGAAGAAGGAGGCATTGAAGTCGATTACAACAAGACTGAAGCGCAGGTCATGGCAGATGCAGCCGCCTACTACATCAGTCGACATAGGGATCTTGAGTTCCTGATTGACAGCTTCCGAAATGACGTTAAAGCAACAGATAGTCTCAAGTCGGACGAGATTACCCATCCAACATGGATACCAGATAAATGGATGGGAGGCGACCCTCTCGGAACACCGGTCACTTTGCGATATGATCATGAGCGAAGACGCACCCAGTGCCTTTCAAATTCTGTCAATGTCGAAAATTTGACATTACGCATTCGCGGCGTAGAGGTGGGTTGGATACAGAAACGCTTTACCAACGGCGCATACGCGACCATTGGTCGCTTCTGGACGTCTCCGCTCGGTGAATATCTGCAGCGACACCTCAGGCACTCTGGCCCCGGGTTGCCGCTCGAATTCCTTCGTGTTATCGAAGGCGGTCTACACGGGCGAAAGCACGATCACAGTTGTATTGAGACTGGATTGTCTTACCTTCTTGAAATTAGCAGTGCTCCGGAGCGGGCGAGCCGGAATTTAGGGCACGAGGGAACTAAAGTACTGGACCTATTAGCCCCTTTGAAAAGGATTGATCGACGCGCGTGGTCCGCGCTCCGCGATACTTTACAAAGCTTGTATAGAAGATCTTACATTGTAACAAACAGGGGATACGCTGGCCTAGTACCCGATTGTAATATAAGAGAAGGAGACGACATTTGGATAATACTTGGATCTTGTTATCCGCTCATCGTGCGAAGACAAGTTAGCGGGACATACCGGCATATTTGCACAGCACACATACCGGCTTTTGATGAACGCGAAGATCTGGCCCAGTTGTCATGCGAAATCCAGCCCGGGGACAAAGTCGGCGAATGGACGGTTGAGGACATCGAATTGGAATGATAACAACGCGCTTCACGATGACGTAAGAGCACGATTTGCTACGAACCCAGTTGCGATCATATTTGAGTGGCACTATATACAACGAACTTAACAACGTTCTTCCGCCGAGGTTGAACCAATACCCCAACTCTCCACTTTGACATCTCTCTGACTATCTACGCCGGAGGCCCAACAGGCGTAGGCATAGGCATAGGCGCTACAAACAATCAGCAACAGACCCAACACTCTCCAAAAACACATTCTACTCACAAAAGCCCGGCATACTCCTCGTAGGCCTCGGCATTGGCCCTCTACTAGGCCGACCAGGGAACCCTCCAGTCGGCATGGGAGGAACGCCACCTGGGAAGCTGGGGAAGCCACCAGTAGGGAACGGAGGCGCACCGCCTGAGAAGCTGGGGAAGCCAGGGAAGCCGCCGGTTGGGAAGGGAGGAGCGCCAGTAGGGAACGCGGGGAAACCTCCGGGAGGTGTTGGCATGGGACCGGTGGGGCGGGGGCCAGTGGGGAAGGGTGGGATGCCGACGGGCATTGAGGGAGTGGCTTGGCGTTCTACGATGGGGGCGGCCAGGGCGCTGGGGGGTGTTAGTTGGGGTGTTGGGGAAGTGGCTTGGTAAGGGAGATGTACCCAGCGGCCATGAGGAAAACGGCGGTGAACTTCATGATGTGCGGATGTATAGTTCAGTGAATGAGTAAAGTGGAAATTGTTCGTGGATGTCGATTTAAACTTCTGACACGAGGTTCTCTTATACTCCTGCTCACCCCCGGTCTCTACATCTTCCAGAGCACACGCGTACCTGGCTAACCATGCGTCAGCGTAGATTACTTTCCTTCCCTGTTCCTCCGCCCTCAAGCCCCCATTGATGAATCCTAATATCCCGTATAATGGTGCAGCAACGCCATATTTGCCCGGCTATCAAAGCCTAAAGTTCGGAGAATTCATTCACTCGCGGAGGTTTGGGGCCGATCGAGTGTGTTGAGAGAATATGACGTTGCGTACACGTTGTGCAGAGAGCGTTGCGCCAGGGTGTTTATGGAGAGTAGCACAGTGGCCAATTTATCGGTTGCTTGTGGCCGGGTCCGTTGTCTAATTAAGCTTTGGATTCAGGGCAGAAACAGGCTGTACAACCGCTGAGGGTAAGTTTTGAAACAGCTCACCTGTACGGTCCAATGATAGTGGTGATCTTGAGCGTGTGGCCTGAGGTCTCCGATGTCTCGTTGGATCGGACTTGCAAGAGGCCTGCAGGTAGAGCTGTATGGAATCGATGGTACTCAAATGCCGATAGATACTGCATGCAACCAGACCGGGATGAAATCGAGATTGTTTACTTTGAGTACTAAGATCGAGGACGCGTCTCTCCTAGATAGAGGCGGCCGGGCTGTTTAGCCGATTTCGGGACGATTCTTTGACTTTTGAATGGCAAGCAGTGTAAAGTCGTTCTTCTGACGCCTGAACGATGGCGTGCAGTGCGGCTCGGGTCTCCGCCACGACGGTCAGTCTTGAGCTCATGCAGAACTTAGCAGGAGCGGTTTTTGTGGGTCTCGAGGCGTAAACTCAGAGGACATCGGCAAGTCGGCGTATTCAGAGACACCTGGTATGTCAATTGACGACAACGTCATTTTTGGGCAGCAAAGGAAAATCCGGCGAGACCTGAAAAGACTAATCAAGATCGAACGTGAGGTAAATTGATATGAGGGGCAGCGCTGAGCCCCCCGCATTCTCGCATCTCATCGGAGTTCGACTCCGGTAGGCAGTCCCGACCGTTCGTCGCCAAAAACTTGATTGGTAAATGAAGAAGAAGCATATGGATGTTGTCGAGAGTAGATGAAATGCGGTCGCAATGAGCCAGTGAACCAGACAGATGAAGCCGTCAAGGTCCTGCGATGCCCAGCAATCATGGTTGGTTGGAATGGGAAAAGCCGCGAACTTTGCCGGGCCGCACCTGCATAATTCTCCTGTTGTGCCGCTAATCCTTGACAAGCAACATAGCCCTGATTGCAGATGTTTGATGCAAATGCTTGTGACGACAGTCGACGGGCGATATATGAAGAAGGCGTGGCTGCTGTGGAGGGTTGCATCGGATAGAGGGTTGTGTAACGTCTCGCGACAACGGTAACAAGACTGTTGTATTGAGCGTTAGCACCAGGTTTGTGAGAAATCCATGTCATCGCACCTTTTGACCCAAATGTGAAGAGTATCTCCATCAGCTCTTGATGGAGCTTTGCTGAATTAAAATGATTATTGTTCCACTCATGCAACCATTCTTCCGGACTGTGTGTACGCCACTCAGTCGTCGTCTTCGATGACTAGTCCAATCTCTTCCGCATTCTTGACCTCTCCGCCTTCGTTGTTGCCATCTGCGTCCTCGTCGGTGCCAGTCTTTGGCACATTCGCGTTCGGCGCTAATTTCTTCTTCGTCTTGCCATCCTCTGCAACTGGTGTCCCATCCCTCTCGCTGCCTGTTCCGCCCTTACCACCCTTCTTGGCTTTCTCTTTCCGCTGTCGCGCCTTCTCCCTCTTCAGACGATTCTTCTCCGTCTTCTCATTGTCTTTCTTTTCCAGCTCCTCTTTTCGCTTGGCGAACTCCTTTTCGTCTTCCTCCTTCTTGACCTCCTCGTCCATCATCCTCAGCCTCTCATACTCGCGCCTCCGACTCGCCTTGTAGACGTGGAACTCGCCACTTCCCGCACCTGCACTGGAGCCTTGTACATTGGCGACGATTTCTGGGGGTAGGGAGGACTTGGCTAGTGCGCTGGAGCCTGGGATGTAGATATCGCGATCAGGCTTCGCGAAGAGAGCCTCGACTTCTGAGGCTTGGGCTGAGCGGGGAGTAAGCGCGCGCTTCTTCGTCGGGCGCTGCGAGCGCGGATCGGCGGATGTAGGTATTGATTCGGGGATGGGCTCAGACATTGTGGTGAGACCACGAGGGTCAGCGATGCGATGCGCTGGCAAATAGACGGATTGGCAGAGGGCAGTAATTTGTTTGTGACGTCGTGTGTGGTTGCCCGGAGTGATGCGACTTCAAAAAGATAGCGTGGGCAGTAGCAGTGTGTACGTGTGGTGTCGCGCAATGCAGAAAAAGTGGTGAAGAATGACGGCCAAGAAACAGTCGCGAGGGATGACGCGCTAGCATTTGCGGCGAACACCTCGGGGGCGCTACGGGCGGCGGAACAAGCCACTCGCGCCAGCGAAGTCGCCGCTATCGTTGGGCTTGCAGCTGCACATGAAACGCCCTTGATCGCACTTTCCCTGCACAGCTGTACATATTCCCTTCCTGCCTCCAAGACACCTTTCTGTACAGCATAATATCAACGACACGTACATCATCTTCCAAACCCACACCATACACACATCCCACTCTCTTCACCATGGGGAAACCCCGCGTAGGTCCACTTTATTAATACCACCAAGGCCAATGGCTAACTCCCTCGCAGATGATCATATTGATCCGCCATGCCCAGTCAGAGGGAAACAAGAATCGCGACATCCACCAGTTCATTCCCGACCATAGAGTGAAACTGACCCAGCATGGCTGGACTCAGGTGCGCCCCCAGTCCCATCCGACTTGAGACGAGACATGACTAACTCAGATGATTGTAGGCAGAAGAGGCAGGACGACAGCTACGGTCTCTGCTCAAGCCGGACGACACCCTCCAGTTCTTCACTTCACCCTACCGTCGCACGCGCGAGACGACCGAAGGCATACTCCGTACTCTGACCTCCGACGACCCAACACCATCGCCCTTTCCCCGCAACAAGATAACCGTCTTCGAAGAGCCCCGGATACGCGAACAGGACTTCGGAAACTTCCAGCCATGTTCAGCCGAGATGGAGCGCATGTGGCAGGAGAGGGCCGACTATGGGCACTTCTTCTACCGGATACCTGATGGCGAGAGTGCGGCTGACGCGTACGACCGAGTCAGTGGCTTCAACGAGAGCCTGTGGAGATCTTTCCAAGACGACAACTTTCCCAGTGTATGCGTTTTGGTCACACACGGGCTGATGTCGCGCGTCTTCCTTATGAAATGGTGAGGCGCATAACGATTGGGTCAGCAGTCCAGAACTAACATGCTCCAGGTACCACTGGTCGGTCGAGTACTTCGAGGATCTCCGTAACGTCAACCACTGCGAATTCATAATTATGAAGCGAAGCGAGAACAACGGCCGATACATTCTCCAGAACGAGCTACGAACATGGTCGGAACTCAAGCGCCGTGCTGCGAAGGAGAAGGAAGAGACAAAAAGCGCCACCTCATCTACGCCGAGCAGGGCCACACCTTTGACTGGCCTGGGCCAAGGAGGCATCACCGCATCCCCCACCATACCCACGCGCCGATGGGGAGGATGCGTCAACGGATGTGACCATGACAAGATCAACTACCCCCGTCGACCGATGCGCAAGAACACTATGGAGTACATGGGACAATCGCAACAGCTGCCCCCGCCGGCAGTCTCACACATGGAGCCTGTAGAAAGCGAACAGGAGGACCACCCAGTTGCAGCGCAGCAGACCGAACACGCCCCCATTATCAACGAGCCGTCGCCGGCAAAGCTTTCGCGGAAGCAGAGTACTAAGGGTGCCACCATGCCGGAAATGCCTCCAACGCCAGCATCTCCAAACGATGCGTCCAACGACGCCACAAGCAGTGATGAAGGGGAAGCAACATCGTCCATGTCACGCTCAGGTAGCCATGCACAACCGAGAACCGCAGCTGTCCTCCGCCACCTACAACCCCACAAGACACCAGGCGAGGGTTTCTCTGATGACTCCGACTACTTCCCGGGCATGCAACAAATACAACACCGCAAGTTCCTCCGAGCAAGCTCTACGCAGCGCAGACAGTCCAAAGAACGCAAATTGCAGCGCAAACAGACAGAGCAGAGCTGGAAAGAGGAATCCGGCATGGGTAATGGCGTCAGGACCGATAGACTGGGCGACGGCGATGCCACCAGCGATGATGCTGCGTTCGCGAAGGAGAAGGAAGGAGAACCAATCCTCACGGAAGCGTTGAAAGGCAACATGATTGTCGAGAACAGTGAGGAGGATAGGGAAGCCGGGGAGGAAGAGAAGAAGATTGGCGAGACGGAGATTGACAAGATGCAAGACGCCGAGAGAAAGGGCTTTGGTGAGGTATATTGAGCATCTTGGATGAATGGTACGTCGAGGACGAGCTGGACGACGATACGGCTGTATTAACGCAGATACTAAACGTCTCAAACGATTTACGGTACAAGATCGAATCGAGCCGGTTTCGTAGATCTTTCACATTAATCGAATGTCTACGGGTTGATTGGGTCGCTTTCCTTGATTCTGGTAAGCTTTACTTGGTTCCATCCCAACCATGAGTGCAATACTATGCGCTAGAGGCCCCAATGTTGCTGCCGTGGGAATCTTCTGAATTACAAATCTTAAATTCCACATCAATCTCTCACTCGCGCGAACGCAAACGCACTTTCCTCACCTGTTGTGGACCCACTTTCCGCGTCAGGTGGTTTGCCAAGACCACTCTTGCTATTCTCACTCACTTCGGTTCTCTGATCTCTTCGGACTACTTCGTAGTCACTTGAAGGAGCCCATTACCTTGAGAATCATCACACGACAAGCCACTTATACCATGCAAAAACCCGAGAGTGACTCTGGCGCAGCTGTTGCGCCCACGCCCACATCGCCTTGTCAAGGTCGAGCTATCGGCTTTCTGGACTTATCTGGGGGTGAGTTAAGATTTCGGAACCAGATTTCACAGTTGCTAATTATATCTAAAGAACTCCGGAACTACATATACGAGTATGCAGCTGAGCAGAGCATTCTGGTGAAGCTCTCGCACAACCCTAGCCTCACTAAGAACAACATCGACTATATCGCTCAAGATCGTACGCTCCTTGGTCTCACACGAACCTGTAGACAGGTCCGCGATGAGTTTTTGCCCATCTACCTCACAACGACCACCATCGCAATTCCATATTACCAGGTCGATCAGTATATCTCCACGTTTGTCGATCCACAACATGGCACCTACGACGATGCGGTCGGTAGTATCATCTTGCTGAGGCCGAGGGTTTTAGCAACACGTCATTCCGTCAATATACTCCCATTGGTCAAAATCATCGCTCGGGCGCCACGCTTGATTGCACGCTTTCTCAACGAGGACACCAATGACTTCCGCCAGAACAGCTTGTTCAACTCGCTGCTCAACACCCATCGCAACCCCCGCTGGAATGTCTACGCAAAAAACTGCCTTTCTCAGATCACCATCAGCAGTTGTACGAATGAAGGTCTAAAGACCACAATCGTGGTCAAGAAAGAGTGGGCGGAAAGCTGGATGGGTCCCGACTTCTATAAGAAGACTGAGTATCTCAACGCAGCAATGACATGGAGTAAACGTATTGGTCTCAACAGGAATAGTGGCAAGTACAGTTCGCTCCTCTATCACTTTGGCCATATAGTTCCGGAAACTTCTGCGACGTCAGCGGAGCTCGACCGTGAATGAGGGCATGTCGTATGTGTTTACATCCAAGGGGGGATAGATCTGTATGAGACCAAGATATGGTTCCACGGGAACAGGGCTTTTCATCGAGAGGTTCGTGTAGCTCTTCAACGCTGGAAGGTGAAATGGACGCCACGCGCAGGCCTTGTGTTTAGTGTAACTAAAGTAGGCGTAGTGAAAACAATGCCCACTACCACTATCTCGACTGGTGCTTGTGGAGAGCTATTCAATTCTTGCTAACCTTCAGCTCAACTCGGATACCTTATCAATCACAAACCACCCTGAAAACTTCTACCCATCGAGGCAAGCAAACTGCTTACCATATAACATGTCTCGTCCACAAAAGACCGATACCCTCGCTTCAATTCAGGAACTCAACGCCGGTCTCCAAAATCTCTCGGTAGAAAGCCCAAGGCTCGGTTTTCTTTCTCTGTCCGGTGGTAAGTACACACTAGCCGTCATCATCAAGTGCATCACTTACAAGCATAGAACTTCGGAACAAAATATATTCATACCTCGCCAATGAACGTATAAACCACGACGCTCCCGTCAACTCAGAGACCACATCATTCTCCTCGACCCCAAACTACCTGCACACGCCCGCACACCAGATCGTGCTATATTACGAGAACAAAGATGACGTTCTATACGAACCTCCAGAATGGAACACTATACAACGCTACGACATGGGCATCACACAGACCTGCCATCAAATACGAGAAGAATACGAAGCCACTTATCGCCAAAACCACTCAATGTCCATCTCGCTCGACGCCCTTGTAACCAGCACCGCCTCCCGTGATCCTGACCAGCCTCCCATCCTTCCTTTAGGCAGCGTACGCATCACGATCCGAGAGTCCTCGTGGTCAACACCCAACATCGACATTCTCCCTTTTCTGAAGGCATATAAAAACTCCCCGTCCTTGAAGCTGCACTTCGGCCTCCCCGAACACGCGCGGACTGCTTTTGGCGATGTGTTCAGCGTGAGGGAGAATAATAAGTGGTGGGTCGGTGTTGAGGAGCATGTCGCGTTTATACATGTATGGCCTGAGGTATACGGCGAGAAAGCTAAAGTTGGGATTACGGTTACCAAGGAGTTTGAGATGAAGCGGAGGAGGGGAAGGATGGGAGTTCAAAAAGGTGTATTGCTGGCTGCGTGGCTGCGTGAGATGGGGTTGGAGGCTTTGAGTAGGTGGCCAGGACTCAGGATATATGTAGTTTGATCTCCTGCTTCATCAAGATGGATATGCACCCTTCAGGCGATTGATGTGTCCAGGAGAGGCTACATGAGTGGCTGCAGACGGTCGAACTGGGGGGTCTAGTAGGATGGCATGGATCGAGGGTTTACTTGGCGAAGCCGTGGTTGGAGGAGTAGTTTGAAGAGTAAAAATGAGGAGGATCTTGAGCTGCGCGTTCGACGACTGGCTTGCAGACCGACCACGCAATCAATCGGAGCAGATGAACACTTCGGCGCAGCGCTGCGGTGTGTCGGTGTCCGTTGAGTACTTGGCATGTTTGCTCATCTTCGAGAAGCATTGTATCGCTCCCATTGCAGGCATTCTGGTCGGCGAGGTAGCTGCGGCATGCAGATCTGACACGGAGAATAATCTGAGATAAGCGGGCCGCGTATGCAAGAAATATGCAGCATTGTGAAGCTGTTCAACAAATGTATGCGATCGTTCGTGAGAAGAAGTGACAAAAAATCGAAGTCAGTCGCCGCTGTGATGGACCATCGATGAAGTTCGCGCCAGTGGCCGCCACCCGGCACTCGCATCCGTCCGTCGCACGGAGTCCTTCTAGAAACCATCTAGACACCCACACAGCTTGACCTAGCGGGCCACGTTAGTAATTCATTCCATCATGAAGGAACGCCGTGGTAATTCCGACGGTGCGAGGTTTCGGTCGCCGACTACCCTCCAAGACCCCGAGCACGATGACACTCGCACTCGCTGCCCTCAGCGCAGAAATCATACGATATCCCACATCGTGAAACGCCTCGTCGACTCTACATCATCATGTTCGCGGGTACGCAAGCCTCGCCATGCAGTCGCGCAAGCCATGAACCGGGTAAAGTTCCCATGTGCTATCCCTGGGGCGCATTCTCGTCGCCGACGACCCACGCGCCTACCACGCGCGAGCCACGCTTAGTACCCACGCTAGTCAATTTAGGGCCCCGGGTGTATGCGTATCTGCTGCCGGGGCGCCACCAGTCCGCCTCCACGATATATCCATCGTCGGGATGATTGCATTCTCGGCTAAGTCCACGTTTGCAGCGTGAGGTCGGCGACTAGGGAAAATGTCTACACGGCGATTGGCACATGGGCCCGTTAGCGAGGGAAGATCTGGTCTAGTGACCTAGTCCTTCATAATGAGGTGGTGGTCTACAAACGGCTTGTTTGTCCTTCGTTGGCAGGGGTTTTCTTTGGTTTTGCTGCTTTCGTTCTGCTGATGCACCTTACGGGACGAGTCCTTCGCTAGAGTGGGATGCTTTAAGGGACGGGACCCGACGAGACGAGAATACCGGTATCAAGAGGATGTTTACACCCGTCGAGACTTCCATCGGCGCCTTTCTGCTACACCAAGCGACTAGCAACCTCCTCTATCAGAATGGCGATATCCTGGGACTCAGCGGCTATCTGCGTCGACTGTTCTCTGCGCCTACGAAGGAACTGCTCGCGTTCTTCACGGGCATGGCTGCCAGCTATGTTCCGTTGAAGGCATTAGCACCGCAGTTGATCACGGAGTATCCTGCTGTACAGACCAGTCCACAGAGTGCTCTGTTTACGCTAGCAATTGGTGCTCTGATAGGATGGGGGACGAAGGTAAGAGACTTTTGGTACAAGAATCCTCCACCGCTAACGCGAACGGACAGATGTCGAATGGATGTACATCCGGACACATGCTGTGTGGACTCCCCAGACTGAGTGGACGCTCAGCAATCGCAGTTGCTACCTTTTTTCCTTCGGCGATCATAACACATCACCTCGTCAATCCAAGCCTATCGAGTCCAATGTGTCCCAGCAGTGCACCATGCTACACGCCTGTGTATCCGTCAACCGAGACAACCGCATCGCTTCTCATACTCGCCGTATTCAGCATCTTCGCCGCGCGAACCATACCCAAACTCGTAGCCCAGGTCACAGTCGCGCCCGCAACCAAGGACGCCAAACATCAGCCCGCAGATACACATACTGCTGCACGCCTTACGACGCAGTCCTTCTCAGGTCTTCTTTTCGCCCTCGGTCTTCACATCTCGCAAATGTCACATCCCGAAAAGGTGGCCGCTTTCTTCTCTTTCCCCGACTTGCAACACTGGGACCCGTCACTTGCTCTCGTCATACTCTTCGGCGTCCTACCCAACTTGATCGAGAACCAGATGAAAGGCTTCGTCAGCCCGCCATCTTTCGCCGACAAGTTCTCGCTGCCTACAAAGACGTTGCAAGACGTGGATAGAAGATTTGTCGTCGGAGCTGCAGCTTTCGGTGTTGGCTGGGGCTTGACGGGAATTTGTCCTGGTCCGGCGGTGCTTCGAGCTTTCTTCCAGCCGGTTTGGGGAGCGTTGTGGGTTGGTGGCTTCTGGTTGGGAGGTAAATTGAACATTTGATCTGGTTCCAAGCTTGTTTCTTTGCTTCAAATGGGGGGTTCTTTGCGTTACACGATACCCTGTATGTATTCCTGCGCATTATCAGCCATGAGGGCTGGATGATGACTGTGGAAGAAGTTAATAATCAGATATGGAATGTCAGTCTAATGATCGATAAAATGACATATGTCAGAGTTTTCGCGCTTCGGTTGGGAGAAGCCTTTGTGTATGTCGCTGTTGTTCCTTAAATTGCAAAGCGATAATCCAGAGTCTTTCTCGCCGCCCCAGGGGAAGGTAGGCGCGTGTGCATGTGGATCTGTATGACGAACTGCTCAGTTGGCGAAAGAGGAAAGAACAATCCGCGAACCGAGATCACTGGGAGACGTTGCACGACAAGGGCCCACTTCCCAGTGTTGCAAGCTCTGGGAGATGCCCGGATCTCTGTCGCCTTCTTTCATTTCACTCCATGTGCAGTGAAGGTGAAGGCGGGAGCCACGCCGAAAAAAAAAAGCTCAATCCCGCTTGCGTAGTACGCCTCTGTTTCCAGCACCACCCGGGTGTTTCTCTCTCTTACCTTACACTCATCAGCAACGAACTTCAAAACTATGCGGATCGGCCAATTCGTCAGGCTTGCTGCCTTTTTCGCTGCTGTTGCAGGCGAGATCTGTCAAAAGTAGGCATAACCCAAGCATTCTGCTTTGCGTCTCGGCGGTTTTGATAGTGCTTGTACCAGCGTCTTGCTTGGAAAAAGTCTCGCAGCTGACTTTGACATCTAGCTGCTCAAACGATGATCGTCTATTCACTAATGTTACGATCCTCGAGGCGCCATACAAGAATGTCGCTGCCGCTGGGCCTCCGCCTCCGCCCCCTCGAACTCCTCCGCCCGGACTGCCAGATCGGCCTCCTCCGAATCCACAAAATGAACCTGCGACTGATGAGGTCTGGGATAGGTGCAGGAGAAAGGGATGCACGCTCTCGTGGGCGATGAGCCACGACGACAGCGAAGTCGGACCCCAGTACGACCCAGGACGTACCACGGCAGCATCACCGTACCAGAATCGTAATCAACTCGGAAGATGGTTCTGGCAGTATTTTCAATTTGATCCAAGCGACGAGGCGGATTCTTTTTTCAACTTCTATTTGACATGGGGTATCGGTGAAGCACTCGCAAGTCTCGGACTCAACCCCAACGCAGACAGATTCGAAGGTGGCGAGAACCACGTCGTCTCCTATCAGCATAACTTGCCTGGATTCGATGAGGATATCGATGATCAAACGTACTATGTTGACGGCAAGCAGTACCGGGCCACAGGTGCTGATTTTACCTTCTCACTCAACATCAACGAAGGCGTCATCATAGCAATGAGCCGTACAAGCCCCAAGGAAATAGGCAAGGGAAAGGACCCGCCAATTACCGGTGACGGACTGCCACGCCTTAATCAATTCTCAGACGTGGCGTGGCTGGAGTGGCAACATTTGATGAACCAGAACAATGGCGATGTCAGAAACATGCGTTACTTCGTGTCTGTGTTGGTTGTCAACCGAGAGACTCAGTCAGTGGTGCTGAGAGCACTGCGCACTCGAGGTAAAAATCTAGAAGATTTTCCAGGGCAGACGTTCGAACGGGGGACAGACGAAATGAATGCAATCATGGGTAAGTCTGGCGCGTTCCAGTAGTGATGCAGGAGGCTCTTCGATTTACCAACAGCTAGGAAGCGTTGACTAACATGTGACCAGGCACGCCGAACATGCAAGGCTTCGCATATATGCTGGTTCAGCACAAAGCGCAGCTGGGCAACATGTACATCAAGAAAATCCAAGTCTTCAAGTGCGTGACGATGCGCGAGCCTCCTTGTATCATCGCGCATGTATCCAAGCCAGACGTCTGGGTTGACCCCGGGGGCAGCGAAGTCGTCAGACGCGACGGAGGCCATAACGTAGCGCGTATGCACAAGATCTTCGCGAAGCTGTGAAGTGTCGTTATTTGCGTGGCGTTGTAGTGGAGGATATAGAGCACTTAGGTCTATGGGTAGCAGTAATGTACGACTGTCATCGCTGTGGTTAGAAGTTTGATACAGATTGGCTGGTAATGTGTGTAGCTTTCTTGTGCATGAGCATGCATTCTCGCATCAATGGCCGGGAGCGGGTGGGAGTGGAAGTGGAAGCGCTGTGGACCCTGAGTGAAGTTCAGCCCTACCAAAAAAGTCTTGAGCCCCGCCACATGATTGCACCCGACCCCGCGACGCGCTCAACCACGACATCGACGCGCAAAATGGAAGACGACAGAGCTGCGACCAACTTGGGGCCCGACGCCGAGCAGGGCATGCCAGAAGAGGCTGTGCCCGTGCAGAAACAACCGAAGCGGCGTTTTGTGGGCAGGAAGACGGCGGAAAAGGCGGGCGAGCAGCAAGCGGATCCCAATGCCAACATTGAGGATTCCAGCGCGATACAAGGTGTGAGGAGCCCATACACAGAAGATTAGAAATATCTCTAGCTAACAGTCATCCAAGTTGCCCAGCCTCGACGTACCGCGCGTGTCTTGAACGCGATCCCCGATGACATCCTCCACGACCAGGAGATCAACGACGCCATCGCCCTCCTGCCTCCAAACTACAGCTTCGAGATCCACAAATGTATACATCGCATACGGACATCTGGCGCCAAGTCGATAGCTCTGCAGTTCCCCGAGGGCCTGCTGCTATTCGCGACGACTATATCCGACATTCTGACGCGATTCTGCCCCGGCACTTCGACGCTAATAATGGGTGATGTCACATACGGCGCGTGCTGCATAGACGATTATACCGCAAGAGCGCTAGGATGTGATCTGCTCATACACTACGCGCACAGCTGTCTGATACCGGTGGCAGTGACGAAGATCGCGACACTGTACATCTTCGTCTCCATCAGTATCGATACCCAACATCTGATCAACACCATCACCGAGAATTTCCCCGTGGGAAAGACCATCGCGCTAGTTGGAACCATTCAGTTCAACGCTACAATACACGGCATCGTGCCGATACTACGGAAGGAAGGATACAACCCGTTTGTGCCACAGATTGCGCCTTTGTCCAAGGGCGAGATTCTAGGATGCACGTCACCGTCGATGGCCATCAAGCCAGGCCAGCTCAACGCGCGAGGCAAAGAGGAGGAAGTACCGGACATGATACTATATCTCGGCGATGGACGCTTCCACCTCGAGAGCGCTATGATCGCCAATCCACATATACCTGCATACCGCTATGACCCCTACTCGCGGCGGCTTACACACGAAACTTACGAACACGATTCACTATACGACTTACGCCGCACAGCTATTCTCACAGCTCGGAAAGCTCGTACATGGGGCGTCATCCTCGGTTCGCTAGGACGGCAAGGAAACCCACATACACTGACGCTCATCGAGAACGAGCTGGCGCGCCAAGGCATCAAATGTGTAAATCTGCTCATGTCTGAGATCTTCCCCGGAAAACTGGCAATGATGTCTGATGTAGAGGCTTGGGTACAGATCGCATGTCCTAGGTTGAGCATTGACTGGGGCTACGCGTTTCCCAGGCCGTTACTAAGTCCTTATGAGGCGCTCGTTACGCTTGGTGTAAGAGACGCGCCATGGTTGGAGGAAGACGACACAGTGAGGAGAGTTGAGGCCAAGGACAGAAAGAACCTCTATCCTATGGACTTTTACGCAAAAGAGGGCTTGGGACGGACTACGGTAGATCATGTGAAAGCTGCGGAAGTAGCAGTTGGGGCATGAGGAACTACAAAGCGTGCATTGGTTTGGCGTCTTTCTCTGCTAGTTTAAACTGAATGTGCATTGTTGCGTGGCGCGGGTCAAGACTTCAACTCTTCCACGTCTCTACGTCTCGGATGAGTAGTTGGGATGAGCTATGGTTGCCTGCCGCTTGCTCTCCTCTTTCACTGCGACGGCATCAAAGGAGCATTTCCCGCTAGCAAAAACAAAAGCACGGACATTCGCGATATCACCGTTAGGCTCCCATCTTGCCCGATTACTCTCTATGACACAGTGACCGTTAACCTGGGATCTTCCACTATACTGCGACCAATTGATCCGCAACTCGCTGCTGCTTGACCAGCGCGATCATGTCATCAGCAACATCTCCACCACCCATCTTCCAGACCGACACCATCCCGTCCAGCATGACACTGCCTCCAGCTACACCAACTCCTCTGAAGCGGAAGCCATCAGGCAACTCTTCTCCTCCTCGGGAGTCTCCAAAGAGACCAAGACTGTCCACCGAGGAGACCCTACACCCTACAAAGCACTACGCCGTATACTCCCACAACCTCCTCGAAGAACCGGGCACCGCCAGACCCCAGCTCCTCAGCGCATCCCCCGTCTTCGAGACCACCCAAAAGGCCATGCGTGACCACGCTACCCAAGCAATCGAAGCAAACGTAAAATGGGGCGGCACCAAAGAGCTCAGCACCAACCGACTCTACGAGATCCTCGATAGCAAAAACCATGTGGTTCTACGCTACGAAATGGATATTGTCTTCCCCGCTGGTGAAGACGCGGACAGCGTGAAGCAGTGGAGCCGCGCAAGCGAGCTGGACGCTTTACCAGTACAGTACGGTCTGTGTGTGGAGTATCTGAATGACAACTACGACGAGGAAGAGGGGGTAGAGCGCTCCCTGGTGGTCACTTTTGGTAGTCTAGGCGAGGCCAAACACGCCATGAAAAAGTCGGCGGCGGCGTACATTGGCAGCTCAAGTGGACTCAAGGTATCTGAAAGGCGGATTGAGATGGTAGGGGAGGAGGGAGAGATTCTTCGACGGTGCAAGATCGAAGAGGGGAGGAGAGATGCCCAGGGTAGGTTTATAAGGGAAGAAGACTTGTTTTTTGAGCTGAGCGGTGCAGAATCGAGGGTGCCTGGCGACCTTCCACCCGCGCCCGAGGGATTGGAGTCATCTGCACCGCCATCTCCTCAGCCGATTACTGCTCCTGCCATTACTGCAGTTGTACGCCAAGCTATACCAGAAGTCGCATCAAACAGTCCCGCTCCCGCGACACCCGAATCAGAAGCGGCTCCCGGCACTCGCCGCCAGTCTACTCGGATTAAGGTCGAGACCCAGGCTGCTAAAGATATGAAAGAAGAACAGCTTAAGATCGAGCCCAAGCCCAAGCCCAAGCCCAAGCCCAAGCCCAAGCCCAAGCCCAAGCCTCAGCCTAAACCAAGGGCTCTAGCCAGACCCAAGGCTCCAGCTAAGCCGAAAGCCGCAGCCAAACCGAAAACCCCAGCTAAATCCAAGACCAAAGCCCCAGCTCAAGATCCGGTCGACACAGCCTCTCACTGCACCTGTCGCGGCCTTGACGATGGTAGTCTAATGATAGGCTGCGATAACGACGCTTGTCCAATTGGATGGTATCATGGTCGTTGTATCGGCATCTCCAAGCCGATTCCAAAGAACAAAGAATGGTATTGTGGTATGTGTACGAAAGAGATGCAGAACAATAAGGATACGGGTGTTGCGACGGTACATGCGAAGACGTCTGCGAAGAAGAGAGGTGGCGGTGCTGGCGTAAAGACAAAGGCAAAGGCGAAGGCGAGGAAGAGGAAGTAGGGGTAGGTGGATTGACGTGAAGGTTGGCTGAAGGGACTGTGGAATTGTGCGCTGATTGGCATAGTCGTCCTGGGGCTTGTTAGTATGTATATTACGATAGTAATTCGTGATGTTAATAGACGGTCTTACCGTTCACGTTCGCACTCCAATGACGTTGTCCTGTTCTACCACATTTCAAGCTAGGCCTCTTTCATATCTACCTTCGGTCTCTGATACTGCGCCGGTGTCTTGATAACACGATGTAACAAGGCATGTCCAAACCATGAGCTGATAAAAGAGAAGATGATAACCCCAATGGTGATATTGTCCATTTCCAGTTGACGCACTGCGCAAAGGTCCGGTCAGGTGGAGAAGATGGGGGATTTCCGCACGTCGTGTTCAGGTTTAGTGCTCGGATATGTGAGAAGCGTCAGCTTGTGATGCACAGGATGCAGTAACCAATCAAGGAAACTGTGTTTGGGGCCATGAGGTGGGTGCGTATCACAAGGTGGTAATGACGCGGGTGTCAGCAAACGCCTTCCGCTTCCTAGTCACACGCAACGTGGTTTGACCAGCTTGTCGCTTTGGCAAGACGGGATTTGCTGGTATATCACGTAGCATCGGCACTATCGGCGTGTGATTCGTACGAAGTGCAGCGCGTAATGGGTATCGGATTCGCTATGCAAAACGCCAAAGCAATGTTCTCAGCTCTTGTCCCCAATTTTATCCAAAGCTGCGCTCAGTCAATCTCGGGCATCAACTCGTCGTCATCGACGAGATCTGGATCAACCTTGCTTCCCAGATCGGTGTCTTCCAAAAACGAACGACCACGGAGGGCTTCGGGTAGGTACTCCTGTTTCACTTTGCCGTCTAGGTAGTGCGGGTTGTATTTATATCCCTCTCCGTAGCCCATGTCCTTCATCAATTTGGTAGGTGCGTTGCGGATGTGATGTGGAATGGGCAGTGCTGCGACGCCTGGCTCCTTCAGCGCATCGTAGGCGTTGTTCATACCCCGGTATGCGCGCGTTGATTTCGGCGAGAGGGATAGGGCGGTCACTGCGTGGGCGAGGTTGATGCGGCATTCTGGCATGCCGATCTTCTCGCAAGCAGAGTATGTGGCTGTCGCAAGGGACAGCATCGAGTTGTCTGCCAGTCCAACGTCTTCGGATGCGACAACGATGAGCCGACGGGCTATGTATCGTGGATCCTCGCCAGACTCCAGCATACGTGCTAAGTAGTATAATGCTGCGTCGGGGTCGGAGCCTCGTATTGACTTGTGTAGTGCGGATATGGTATCGTAGTGTTGGTCGCCGGCGCGGTCGTATACGAGGGTTTTGGTGAGACTCTGTTGTATCTTCTCTTTGGTCATGTCAGGCTGCTTCGCCAGGCTCATGGCGAGTTCGAGGAGATTCAGGGCTGTTCTGGCGTCGCCGTCCGAGAAGCGGGCGAAGTATTCCAGCATCGGCTTGTCTAGGATAGGGGATGTGACGTTGTCTGCGGCCATGGCGCGCTCGAGTATTCGTACCAAGTGGTCTTCTTTGAGGTCGTCAAGCGTAAAGGTCCGACATCTTGACAGCAAAGCTGAGATGACCTTGAATGATGGGTTCTCGGTTGTTGCGGCTATCAGTGTGATTGTGCCCGACTCTACGGGCCCAAGGAAGGCGTCTTGTTGTGTCTTTGAGAAGCGATGTAGCTCGTCGCAGAAGACGATGGTCTTTCGACCTGTCAGCTGCAGGTCTCTAAAGGCCTCTGCGAATATCTTGCGCACTTCCTCCAACTTTGTGCTTGTGCTGTTGATCTCGACGAAGCGTGAGCCGGACGTGTTGGCGATTAGTCTGGCGATCGTGGTCTTGCCTAGGTACGGAGTCAGCTTCCAATTGGAAAGTGGAGGACACAAAGGAAGTATTACCTGTTCCTGGTCTCCCCCAGAGTACCATTGACGGTAGTCTGCCTTCATCGACCATGCCTCGAAGCACGCCGCCTGGCCCTACCAGCTCTTGACCATATACATCGTCCAATGACATGGGCCTCATGCGCTCGGCCAGTGGCATGGCATCTTCGACAGCCTTGAGCTTCCGCGCCCGTTTCGGGACAGATGGTGATTGCTGCTCGCCATTGGCTTGTGTATCCGGTGCTTCTTCGAGAGGCCGTTTTGTACCTGGCGGGGGTGTCTTTGATATCTCTATCCGCTGTGTCGCTGTTGGCGGTGCTGGCTGTGCGGGTGGTGACGAGGTTGGGTGTCCATTCTTCTGTGTCGCGCCCGGAGGTTTGCGTGCACCTGGCGTAAAGAAGCTATACGCCTTTCCCAGGTTCGGCGTGCCCTGAGGTTCTGGCTCGAGCAGAAACTCTTCGCAGCCGCTGTCGATGTGTTCGTTGATTCGGGCGTCTTTGACGGCTTTAGTGCAGATGGGGCAGTCGACCATGTCGAAGATGAGTGGCTCGGCGCACGCGACGCGAATTATTCTGGGGTAACGCGACGAGCGAGGCCGGCGCTATCTCGGATTTGTCCCCGCTTGATGACGGCAGACGACGGACGGGAGCACGCAATGCTAGACGCTACAGTTGGTGACTCTTCTGGGTTTACTCATCTTCCAATGCCATTGCCATGCGAAGCATCGTGACTCCGGCTCTCAGATCTATCCAAACCTCAATCAAGAGACCATCCGCAGCTCCAAGGTGCCCCACCAGCTGTCCCCCTCTCCGAGCCATGTCAGCGACAACACGAAGGGAAGACCCCTTCAAGCCCGCGAAGAGAGTTGCGGGCCAGAAGCAGGATGTCTGGTAGGTCAGAAAGCCTTACTGTCCTACAGATACTAATAATGGCAGGTCCATCGTCAATGAAGCTGCCGCGGCCTCGCCCGTGCAGCCCATCGTCAACATGGGCCAGGGCTTCTTTGGCTACAACCCTCCCAAGTTCGTCCTCGATGCCGCCAAGGCTGCGCTCGACCAAGTAGACTGCAACCAGTACTCGCCCACCAAAGGCCGCCCGCGGTTAAAGAAGGCCATTGCCGATGCCTACTCTCCCTTTTTCGGTCGCACGATAGATCCCGACAAGGAAGTCACAATCACCACAGGCGCAAATGAAGGCATGCTCAGCGCTTTCATGGGCTTCTTGGAGGAGGGAGACGAGGTCATTGTCTTCGAGCCCTTCTTCGACCAGTACATTAGCAACATCGAGATGCCAGGCGGGAAGGTCGTCTACGTGCCTCTTCACCCTCCCAAAGACGGCGCGACCAAGACAACGTCCGCAGCTGAGTGGAGTCTGGACATGAAGGAGCTGGAAGCTGCCATTACACCCAAGACCCGCATGATTGTCATCAACTCTCCGCACAACCCAATTGGCAAGGTATTTTCCAAAGAAGAGCTGCAAGCCATTGGCGACCTCTGCGTCAAGCACAACATCATCATCCTCTCAGACGAGGTTTACGACCGTCTATACTACGTCCCTTTTACTCGCGTCGCCACTCTGTCACCAGAGATCGCCAAGCTCACATTGACAGTCGGTTCAGGAGGAAAGAACTTCTACGCTACCGGCTGGAGAGTAGGCTGGCTGATCGGACCCGAGCATCTGATCAAGTACGTCAGTGCAGCCCACACACGAATCTGCTACAGCAGTGTCTCGCCGCTTCAAGAAGCCACCGCAATTGGGTTCGAGCAAGCTGATGCCCACAACTTCTGGGACGAATCGAAAAAAGAGATGAAGGCCAAGATCGACAAGTTCACTGCTGTCTTCAATGAGCTTGGGCTACCCTACTCGGATCCCGAAGGCGGATACTTTGTTTTGGTAAACATGTCCAAGGTCAAGTTGCCAAGCGACTATGAGTTTCCTCCTCACGTTGCGGAGAGACCAAGAGACTTCCAGCTCAGTTGGTTCTTGATCAAAGAAGTTGGTGTAGCGGCTATCCCTCCAACTGAATTCTTCACGCCAGGAAACGCGCACATCGTGGAAGATTGGCTACGGTTCGCCGTGTGCAAGAACGATGACGTGCTGGAGCAGGCCATGGAGAGGCTGAGGAGTCTTAAGAAGTATATTCAGGAATGAAACCACCACATCGAATATCAGAAATGACAAAACAAGTATTTTCACATTCCCGTGACATTCCTCTCGTGATACGTCCCTCAAGATCGTTTGCAGAACCGTCCAGGTCTTTGTTGATCGTGTCTGTCGCCAGTTCATACCACACCGCCGCACGCGCCTTTCAGTATCCGCCCCACGATTACGTTGCTCAAAGTACTCCTCACAAAAGCGACTTGTGTGGCGTAAATATCAGGAATTAGCTCTGATACCAAGTTGACTCACGCCCCACTCGCCCGTCTGCCAGTCACTCTCTGATTACTTCCCTTCACTTCCACGGATCCACTCAACCGCTCATTCAGTCACGACCCCCACCACTGGCCTACTTAGTCACTTACCTACTTCAACCACGTCGCGTTCACGCAACTCAGACAGCGCACCACTACCAACATGCACATCACAAGCCTGCTGTTCGCCCTCTGGCTACCCATCCTCGCTGTCGCTCTAGCGCAAAGCGGAAGCTCGGCCACAACACTCACAACAAAGCCATCGCCCATATCTCCGCGGTCTATCTCACCAGCTTTACAAAGCATCTACGATGTCCTAGACATCTTGTCGCCCGGTCAACCTCATCCTACACTTACACCACCCAAGTCCACGTCTACGTCCACGTCCACCACCGAGTCAGGTAGTACATTCGTTATTACAACCACACCGGGCGTAGGAGTGGTGGTGACAGTTATTTCACTCACGACATTACGGAGTACGATGACCCCGCCGCGGTCGCTTCTTTCCACTACGACTTCATGGACAACACTAAGCCAGGTTGCGGGACGTAGGCGGCAGCAGGAGGAGACGGGCGAGGCGGCTTTTGCTCCTGTCAACACACGTCTACCCGCAGCGGAGAGGGACTCGGAGCGAGAAGGAGAGGTCGGGGGAATGCATTGAGGAGACTTCACTCTGTCCCGCGTATGTAGGGGAGGTGAATGACCAGAGGGGAACGACCTTACCGGGAAGTTGCTGGATGTCAATGGCGGGATTGGAAGATGGTTATCTAGAGACAACGGGTGTGTGCGGTGTATTCTGACGGGAGATGTAATGGAAAGGCGGACGGAACGCCCAGGGTTGCATGATAGAAAGAAACATTAATGGTCAGGGCTGCTATAGGGTGTGGTGAGATGGCACGGGTGCAACATCGTACATGGGTTCTTTCATTCGATACTCCCATTGGTCGATCGCTTATTCTTGATTGCACTTGCACTGCATCGATAGTCTCGAAGGATGTGCAGAAGATGTAGTGGTATCATGTACTCATTGATTCATTATATATCAGATCATTACTCGTCATCGTCATATACTTCTCGGTCTTGGAAGACCAGGAACTCGCCAGCATCGTCGCCTACAATCTTCTGCCACACCTCTTTGACATTATCAAGCACTGCGTCATCGAAGGCGAGGTCCATGGAGGGAGGTGGAAAGCGAATGACATGGTCGGTATCGGTCGGTAACGTCTCCGATCCGGATGACGATTGCTGCTGGTATTCGACAGACCATAATATGGTAGGAGATGGCGAGACGTCTTCCGCAGACAACAACGAGTCTACAGCTTTCTGAAGCAGGGCAAACCCATCTCGGCCGCTCACCGATGTCGAAGCATATAGTACACCTGGGGTATAGTCAGTAACATGAAGCTAGAAGACCATGCATTGACAATGTAGAGGATGTGCCGTTGTATCAGGTTGTCAGAGTTAATGTCTTCAATGGTATTCAGACAATGTAGATAAGTATTCGTAAGGTTTGTTCATCATAACAGCGTAGGGGTGAAGTAATAGAAAAAACTTACATTGACCAGAGGGGCATTCGCCAGTGTCGCTCGAATGCACAAAGACGTGAACTGGCGGAAGCTCTTCAGCTTGCGACTCCAGCGTCAAAGATCCGGGCGGGAAGACAACGACAGCAGCGGCTGGTGCTGGTGCTTCCTCGGCGATGGGAGGGAATAGATGCGACAAAGAGGATGACACAATGGTCATCGACTTGCAGTATGTATCCTCAGAAGCAGATGAGGAATTTCCTCCTACGATCCACTTCGCGGTGACAACTTCGCCATCTTTCAGGCGAAGCTTTGTACCATTCTCGGTTGTCTCCGGGGCGCTGTCAGTGGGTGGAGTTACGCCTTTTCCAAGGACATAGACACCACCACCCACAGCACAGGCTCGACACGAGACTTGGCTAATCTCTGACAGGCCACCCCACTTCGGTATGACGGCGCCAAAACCAGCACCGAATACTCCGATCGAACGTAGATGTGTCGCGATTCTTGGTAGAGCGTATTCGGTTGTCGTACGGTCTGCCCTGGTGGGCGAGAGCGTCAAAGCCATCAGAGGTCCTTGCAGACTGGCTGGAACCTTGAACTGCTCCGACAAGAAGCTCGAGAAGGGCTGCTGACGGTGCTCCTCCCAAACTTCAGTCTGTTCCTCGTACTCGCTGATGAAGCGCAAGAACTTCATCAAGGCGCGCTTGGCTTTGAAGTCGAGGTCGTGATCCTGGAAGACATCCTCGCGGCCGTTGGGCACCTTCAGTAGTCTTCCATGCGATGACGAGCTTTCGCCCGGTGCATCGGCAGAGTATACCCACCAGGTACCGACAGCAAGAAACTCGAGTTGACGGTAGACCCTCGACGAGACGAGGTAGCCTAGCAGCGAGGAGCGCGCGTAGATGACCTGGGGGCTTAGAGACAGGCTGTATGCCCTCGAGAAGGATAGCGCGGGGCCTGAACCAGTAGCCTCAGGCTTGGTGACTGCGACGTGGGAGAAGGCAGCATTCGAGGTTTCTGCGATGCATTAGCGACAGTCTACCCATTCAACGTCATCCCTACTTACCACCACTCATTCGCTGCGCCCACTCTTCAGCTTCTTGCAAGCTAAAGGCAGCCTCGGCACCGCCGTAGTAGTCATTCTCGTCGACATGGAGGATCTTCTTGTCGGAGCGCGACAAAGCTCTTCACGCGCTGCGTCAGTCAGATCGCGTCCAGCCTCGCCGACGAGCAAGATACATACAAAGCGAGAAGAGACTGCTGCAGGCCAGTGCCTACGATGAGAACATCCCACTCAGTGTTGTCGAGGGTTTCCATGTTGGAGCTGTAGGAAAAGATTGAAATGTCGGAGGAAGATGGTAGCGCCATTTTAGCGTGGGTGACTAAGCGGGGCCTGGTGACAAAATCTGTCGCTGGCTGCCGAGGAGTTTTCTTCATCATCGCGCACGCTCAGGGCATCCCGGCATTACGTATGGCCTGTCCGAAAAGCAGCCTGGTCTTCACTGATCGGGACTTGTGCGCGTGAGAAGAATATCTCGTCCGGTATCTACTGCTTTGGATTTCACCTGAATTAGCGGCTCGAATGTGGCGATACATCACCTTAAGACACGCGATAGCTCGTTTGAATGCGTATGAAATGAATGCGCTTTGGGCATTTTCCCAGTAATGGCTACGCATAAGGGGGGAAGGTCGGTCCATGCGACAATGCAATTCTTCTTAAAGAGATGGCTGGCACGATCTGATCTGATCAGCTACCCATGACATGGAGAACCTTTGCTCACGCCTGATTGCCCTCCACCAATCGTGAGATGCTCTCAACGATTCCGACTATATCTTGCGGGTCGAAGCCCAGCCCAGTCTCACACTCAATCACATTCATCTCATCCTGCTTCATCGCAGCGATGATCTCGCTGATAGAATCCTTATGACTGTCATATCGCTTATCGAAGACATCGCCTGCCCTTCCGCGACTCACAAACCTCTCTCTTGCCACTTCTCGATCAGTACACAATGCTAATACCCAAGTATTGCCATTGGGCTGCCATATATCTTTGACACTCTCCTTGAAGGTCTCCCACCGATCCACTCCCCTAGGAAAGCCATCTATCAGGATCCGTACGTTTGGCGGAACAACGCCATCAGGGAAAATCCGCTCCCGAACGTACTTGGGTGTTCTGTTGGACGGCGCCAGTGTTCCTGCTTTGACGTTCTTGGCGAGATCTCCCAGCTCCTCTACCGACAGCTTGCATTTTATGCGAGCGGGATGGCCAGTCGAGTTTGAGGAGACCAGGTTACGGAGCTCATTGCCGAGGGAGAAGTGGTCTAGGTTGAAGTGTTTGGCTAGAATGGTGCATATCGTCGACTTGCCGGCGCAGGGAGGGCCGAGGACGAAGATGAGAAGGGGCGGGGATGGTTCATGTGGTTCGGGTGCAGAGATGTGCAATATAGACTGGGGGTTGTTATCGGTGCTCATGGTTTGGGTGGTGTGTACGATATGCGCATCGACAGTTAGAGAGACGAGGTCGTTTGTGCCTCGAGAGCTGACTATATAGTCAATATACTTCACACGTTCTTTGACTTCACGAAAGTGCTGCTCGCTCGTGCTAGCCCTCGACTTACACAGCGTTTATATGTAGGAAGGTGCTGACAGTCCAGCGACGTTGTAATTGTTTAGTGTCGCATTGTCAACATGCTTTCTAGCAACAGTGCTCTCGTGTATCTAAGTGTCAGCCTCTTGCTTCACCATCGTCCTCGTGCGCCCTGATGTCTTCTTCCTTGTCCCATACTTTGTGTCCCGCGACCCACGTTTGGAGCACCTCGCCATGCTCATTCAATACCGTCAAGTCTGCTCTTCTACCCTCTTTCAGCAAACCTCTTCCACCTTCTCCGTCAACGCCCATAAAGGCAGCCACGTTTTCTGTGACCGTGCCTACAGCCTCTGCGATTCCACATCCAGACCAATCCATCAAGTTCCTCACACTCTGCTGGAGCGGTATACAACCACCGATCAACGTGTCGGTTCCAGCAATCGTCGCCCGTGTACCATTCTTCACCTGTTCAAAGGGAATTTGCGAGTGGCCAGGGTATGTTCCATCCTTGAGTGAAGCAAGTTCAATGCTGTCTGTTATCAGAATCGACCGCTTTGGGCTTGAGCGATGGAGCAAGGACACGGTATTGGGATGCAGATGCTCTCCGTCTGCAATGATAGTGTACCACGGTGGTGCGACTTTTCCTGAATCCGGTAGCGAGACCAGACCAGCTAGTCCGGGCGCTCTCGATGCCCAAGCTGGCATGGCATTCAAGGTATGCGTCAATCCACTTGCTCCAGCTTTCAGCCCCGTCAATCCTTGTTCATACGTGGCAGTAGAATGGCCCATTGCTACTTTGATGCCCTGCGACGTAAGCGATTTGATAAGTGCAGCTGAATCTTGGAGTTCTGGTGCGACGGTCACAAGCTTGACAGTAGATTGCAGATTAGTGGATCCGTACACAGTCGAAGGGGAGGTTGAGCATAGGTGAAAGAGGGAGCTGTTGTGCGCGCCATTCTTATCTGGATGTAGATATGGCCCTTCGGTATGAGCTCCGAGCAGAGATGCTGAATAGGAAATCTGCCGTGGCTTCAGAGAGGGAAGAATCTGGAGCTGTGTCAGTAGACTGGCACAATGTATGGACTTATCCATCATTCAACTGCACGACAAAGGTGTCACAGTACGCTACATCTGTCTCACCTTTTGGAATTCATTACTCTTTATAGTTGGTAGGGTTGCCCAGAACCCCGTGACACCCTGAGTCGCGTAGTACCTCGCAATATCATCGATCTTGGTCGCATATGTCTTTTCGTCCTCATAGTGTGTGAAATGGAAGCCATTTGCCCCATTGGTGTGCAATTCCAAGAAGCCTGGAGCTATGATAGTGTCTTCCAAGTCGATGGCCTCGCCCCCAATGTAGCCTTCTCTTTTCAGGATAAGTCCGGTCTCATCTGAGATAACGAGATGGTCCTCGACAAGCTCGCCATTGAGGATGTAGCGACAATTGGTGAAGAGAGTGAACCAGCCTGACATAATGTAGACCTGGCCAATAGCGCGCTCGAAATAGGTCGCGGGTAACTTCCGTTAGCAAGGCGTGAGCAAGGAGATCATGAGTCGTTCCAAGGTGGAGGGGACGATCAGCCCCACCATGCCCTGATTGGCCAATGCAGCCACACCATGTGCATTGACGTCATTATACGCGGATCTCGCGATCCATGAACGCGACAGCCAGGGTGATTACCAGAATTCCAGCCACAGTGGAGATTTTGACAGCTTCGTGCCGTGGCACAAGCAAAGGTTGGGTACGCGTCGTGCGCAAAAGGTAACGCGGCTGCTCCTGTTGCAGCATTGGGCGCACTTGCCCTACGTCATTGACTGCAATTGGCAGCCCCGCGCGCGGGAACTCTTTTATGGTCTTGCAGCTTGCTTGTTCCTTGCTTTCGCTTCTCAAGCGGGGAGATCTTCGCTAGGCCCAAACTCTCCCAATATATCTCCATCGGCCCATACGATCCTCGATCCTCCCGCAACAGCCGCAACTGCTGTGAGCCCTTTCGCCCCTCCACACCCTTGACTTTTGACTTGGGCGGTCACTTCGGAGGAGATATAGCACAGCATGGCGTCACAACAGCAGCAACACGCTCCGGGAGGACATTACTCGGGCCATAACCCAATCCCTACCGTCAGGCAGTTCGTCGAAAACCTGGACAAGGACAAGGCGGCTCGAGACAAGAGAATAGACGAAGCATCCAAGCAGCAGAACCAGCAACAATTGCAACCCCATAAGCAGCAGGAAAGACAAATAAAGGGTACAGAGCAGGTGGTTACTGACCCTACGACTGGTAGGGAAGTCACCATTGCCGATGTCAACGAGGATATGATGGACGAGGTCGAGAACCCGCATCTAGTCATACCAAATGCAAACCTTGATAAGCAAACAGTACGTCTTCTATGCCGGCTCTATATTCACTCGCTAATACTCTGCAGCCCATCAAGACCGATGCCTCCCAGTCGCTCGAAGACTACAAGCACAACCAGGATGTCACAGCTCCACCGGATCCAGTCGCCGAAGGCACGACGACCGACGTACCTATTCACGGCGAAAAGACGAACGTTCTCTTCCACCCGACACCCTCGGTCAGCTACGAACCCATGTTTGCCGCACTCGAAACACGGGCCAACTACCTGTGCGCAGGTATCTTGATTGGAACAGTTGTCGTAGGCAAGATGTTCGGTGGCGCACTGAAGGGTCTAATACCACTCGGCATGTGCCTGGCTTCTGGCGTATTTCTCTGGATGAAGGAAGTCGTGCGCAGCGGACGAGAGGTAGAGTGGGACAGCGAGCAAGTCCGTGGCCAGATGGTGTGTATCTGCGAAGTCCACCCACATGAGCGATAGCTAACCATCTTGTAGGCCTCTCTGAACTTGCTACCCGAGTCCGTCGAGTGGATGAACACGCTTCTCGCTATTGTGTGGGGCCTCATCAACCCCGACATGTTCTCTGGCGTTGCAGACATGCTTGAAGATGTCATGCAGGCCTCCGTACCAGGTGTCATCGAAAACGTCCGCGTGGCCGAAATCAACCAAGGAAGCAACCCGTTGCGCATCCTTAGCTTGCGAGCACTTCCGGACTCACACATGGGCGACATGAAGAGGTCCATCCACGAAGAGAACAAAAAGACGAAAGACCCACAAGAAGCAGCAGCAGACGAAGAAGGTGGAGATTACTACAATCTGGAGGTCTCTTTCGCATATCATGCGAGCCCCAGTGGAAAGCGAGTTTCGGAGAGAGCACGAAACATGCACATGCAGCTGGTATTCTACTTGGGGATTAAGGGTCTGTTCGGTGTTCCGCTGCCCATCTTCGTCGAATTGCAGGGACTTGTCGGCACAGTCCGCCTGCGTCTCAACATGACACCCGAGCCTCCTTTCCTAAAGACGTTGACCTTCACGTTGATGGGCGCACCGCAGGTCAGTGCCGGATGTACACCCATGGTGGAAAAGGGTGTAAATATCCTCAACCTTCCATTGATCAGCAACTTCGTCAACTACGCCATCAAGGCAGCAGCAAGCAGTAAGTGAGTCTCTCAAGAGGGACAAAGAAAGCATGCTAATCAGCCTAGTGTACGTTGCGCCCAAGTCTATGTCTATTGACATGCGAGCTATCCTCCAGGGCGACTCCGTTCAAAAGGACACGGAAGCCCTCGGTGTTCTCTGGATCCGTATTCACCGCGCTGTTGGCCTAAGCAAGCAAGACAAACGCGGATCGAAACATGGTGGAAGCGACCCTTACATCACTATCGCCTTCTCAAAATACGGAAAACCCATGTACTGCACTCGGGTCATTACCGATGATCTGAATCCGATCTGGGAAGAGACAGCAGCTGTTCTTGTTGGACCGGAATTGATCAAAGCCAATGAGAATCTGAGCGTAGAACTCTGGGACTCCGACCGACACACCGCCGATGACATTGTCGGAAAGGTCGAGATTTCCATGCAGAAGATGATTCAACACCCCGGCAAGATGTACCCGCAGACTTCAAAGCTGGCTGGTATGGATGCCGATAGCGAGATGCCTGGAGAACTTCACTGGGAAGTCGGCTACTTCACCAAGCCGAAGTTCAGGAAAGAGATGCGAACGGACGGCAAGAACAAGTCGCTCCCAGACGAGTTGAAGGACAAGCCTGAGTTACAAGACGAGAAGGGTGTCATCAACTCCGAAGAGGATGATGCTGTCATGCATACTCCACCGGATCCTCTGTGGCCCAGCGGTATCTGCAGTGTGGTTTGCCACCAGATTGTGAACCTAGAGCTCGAGAACGTCAAGGGTAGCGCCGACCCTAGAGGTCGCGAGTACGAGCCTGCGAAGCCTTACGGCGAAGGCAAAGAAGAGACTGGTGGCAATCTTCCGAACAGCTACTGTACGATCTTGTTCAACGACGAGCTAGTCTACCGAACTCGTTCGAAGGCTGTCTCATCTCAGCCCATCTTCAACGCAGGTACCGAACGATTCGTTCGTGACTGGCGATCGGCCATCATCACGGTAACGGTGCGCGACCAAAGGAACAGGGAGCACGACCCCATTCTGGGCGTGGTTCCACTGAAGCTATCTGACATCCTCGAAACATCATCACAGGTTACGCGATGGTATCCGCTCGACGGTGGTATCGGTTTCGGTCGCATACGCATCTCTCTGTTATTCCGCAGCATCGAAACTCGTCTACCACCGCAGATGCTTGGCTGGGACGTCGGCACCTTCGAATTCCGGTCGCAGCGCATTCTGGCTTTAGGCTACAACCATCACCCCAAGATCAAGTTGCGGACTGGAGGTAGCACCGGCAAGCTAGGCCGCAGCGCTGCCACCAAGCTCCAAGAAGGCGATGGCTATTACTGGGATTTGGAAGAAGGCAATGGGAAGAACAACGTCCGATTACCAGTTAAGCACCGCTACAGGTCCCCGATCGTGTTCGAATTCCACATCAGCAATCATCGCAAGGCCGACGCTTATGCCGTGATTTGGCTCCAGCACTTCATCGACAACGAGGATGCCGACATTAACATCCCAATCTGGAAGACCGCTGCTCCTGCTCGACTAACACAGAACTACATCACCGAATCAAACTGCCACAAGGAACCTGGTCTCGATGACCTCCAAGAGGTGGGCCGCCTGCAATTCCGTGCTCGCTTCAAGGCCGGTACAGACGAGGCGCACGCTGCTTTCATCACCGACAATGACACACGCGAGACCTTCGAGACATGGGAGGCTTGTGTTACGGAGGGTGTTCGAAACCACAAGGTCGAAAAGGAGATACCAGATCGCGTGCAGGAGCTGCATGACCAGTCATTGACTACAGGACGTGACATCCTGAAGAATGCGAGTGAGGAAGAGAAGCGTCAGTGGCTCGCGAAGGATGGTCAGGACTGGTCAGGTGCTTTTGGAGACAACCCGAAAGCCTACATGAATACCAGACGCCAAAAGAGACGTGAACCTGGCGTTGAAGAGCCACTACACGACCGTCACCATCCATCCGACAATGAGGATAACGACGACTCTGATGACGACTATGGCGCCAACTATTCTTCATCCGATATCGGTGTCGAAGATGCTGATACGGTAGGCAACGCGAAGGCTATGAGTGGTGGCCAGGGCGGAGGTGATCAAAGCAAAGGCAATGGTCAACTGAAGTCACAAAAGACCGATCTATCGCCAACCGAGGATCATCAAGCTCGCCAGTCCATGTCAACAGCTCGTACAAGTACCACAGCCGAGACAGATGAAACATCATCGAGCGGAAATGGAAGTGTCAACAAGCAGAACAAGAGAACTGAAGAGAGGAAGCACCGTGGGCTGATGCAATGGAAGCCTGCACGAAATGCGAAATTCGCAAAGGATGAGGCTAAGATCGGGCTGTCTAAGTTGAAGAAGAAGGTCACTGGAGGATTGGACGGAAGGCAACCCGGTGTTGAGACTGGTGAGTTTTTCATGGTACCCATAAGCAAAAGATGCAAACTAACACGTTCACAGAAACCGGATAATCACACTAAAGAGCACGATATCATATTAACGATTACACGAGCTCTTCTCATATTCGACTTCGCGACATGGCGTTGGTGAGGCTGCAAAACGTCAAGGTGGTCAATCTTGATAGGGCCGAGAATTCTCACGGCTCTCCATTCAGAGGTGCATGATGTTATGAGGTAGTCAAAGCAAAGTTAGGAATCATAATAACTAATCAAATCTCAATACCAACTTTACTCATCGGCCATGGCTTCACTCTCACAAGATCCAGAGGTGCGCATGGGACGAAACGCCCATTGGTAACAGGGGGATAGCTACGAACACACTCTACCTCTTGGGGCGATTTCATCGCGCAACGTACTTTGATCAACAGGGTGAGTATGAGAACATGGTAACGCTCTTACTCACGATGCGAGAGCTCGGCTGCGGCACGTTGGATGTCACGGCTAGTGCACCAATATCTGAAGATCATATCAGCATCGTAAGCACGACCCCAACATAAGCGGGCGGGAGTCCAAAAGCACAGATGATGATGTAGTCATGAAACAGTGATGAAGCTGTATCCGACGTACCTGCGCGAATTGCGATGCTGCGTAGCTACACGTCTGCCTTGCCCAGCCAGCACATTGCTGGCCTGAAAAGAACCACAGCACTATACTATTCTCGTATACCGACTCGTTGGTTAGCAATCGACCCATTGATTTTGGCCCTCATTCCAGGGACGCGGTCGTCGTCCGTTTGTTCAAGGCAGGATCGGCCCATTTCGCTTCAACCCCATTTACGCGCCGGCGCTTGCTGCGCCGCAGCACTCCTCCAGAGCGTGCAAGCCACCATCATATCCAGGCGATGCTTACTGGACTAGACCAAGACGTGGGTTTTGGGAAGGCCTAGCGTTGATCAGCTGGGTCCAGGACCAGGTTTTGGCTCGCTTTTGTTACGACCGCGCCGCACTCGCCGGCGCTTAGAGGAAGGATGACGGACGGGACGTTTTTTTTTACGCCTTGCACACCTGCCCGATTTACGTGCCTTGGGTGTTTGGAAGTAAGACATACGAGTGGACTTCATATCGATATCGTGAGCTGTGGGTAGTGCCGGTGGTTTCGCGGCTTCCTTTGTTGGGACGGCCTACGCGCATGGCTGCCATGGAGTGCAGGTCATCGGTCATCGTAAGGCTGCATGGTCAAGACCGCGGCTTAAACGCTTGGTATTTCTGTCGTTACCACCGTGCGGTCCATGACATGCCTAGGTCATTCAGGCTCAAAATCCTCAGGCCGAAGGTTGGGTCGTTGTTAGTCATGCTACACCTGATATCATCATGGAAGCGGTGTTGCGTCTTCGTTGTTGAGGAGTATGAGCGATGAAACGAAATTGAAGATCGTGTTGGTTGCGACAAATATGCGTTTACTCGGCTAACCTAACCTGCATATGCATACCCAGTTATTTGGGATGGAGTAGTTGTTTTTTCCTGCACCTGCATGCATAGACCTGCGGTCACATGTTTTCAGCACATACATCATACGTCGGAAGAGGTTGCTTCATTAGCTTAGGTGGAGTATTCAAGAGCTTGCGATGTTGGATTGTTGCGTCCAGTGAATCTGTGTCTTGTAGCGCCGGCCGCAGTTTACACCAGGCCCGTAGCTTCGTACGGGATGACCTGTCTATCTCCAAAACATGGCCCCGATAATTTACCTGAGGATACCATATACTGCTGCTTTGTTTTTCTGGGTTAGAATTGCCGACGGCGCAGTCGCATGACAAGTTCAGCCGTGTGTGACGTGAATATATTTTCCCATTCGTTGCTTTCCGATGATGTGGCTCGAGGACGGATCGCTGCTGGTGTGTGCGTAAGGCTCAGCGTGGTCGCAGAAGAGGTCGATGCCTGGGATCAAGGATCCTGCAAAAGTCCGGATAGTCAAACCTCGGGTCCAACTCAAGTGTTATTTTCCGTGTGCGTATCTCCGTGGCTGGCCGTTGTATACGATACGAGATGTGTCGCTTCCAGCAAGCATACACTGTAAGCACTGCCATGTCACGATGGATGAACTGTGATGATCGGCGGGCGCTTTGCCCCGTGCTACTGCTCCAACTACTATCTGCGTAGTGCGGAGATTTGGTGCAAACCCTAAACTATCATCATGGAGATAGCGTGGGAGTTAGTACCGTGGGAACTGCCAAAACGACGTCACTGCTCAATCTTCTGACAGAGACCACACTATACTGAATCGGCCCTGAGTCCTGGCGAAACCCGGTAGCCGTTGGGGAATTCACCGCGCTCATGACTCGGCGGGACAGACATGTAAGGATGCGGGGAGCTGGGTTCCCTGGAGTACTTCGCAGGCTTAGAGACCCACTGTGCATTTCCAATTCCAATGAATCGGCATGCCACGTTTTTGCGCGCTTAATCGCCTGGTCGAGATCAGCGTCGATCTAGAGTTTTCCTTTTGCCGTCTCCCAGCTACCGGCCCTCGGTCTATTGCTCGATAACGGGCTTCTGCATGTCATTCTGGATGGTATCCAACCAGATCATATCAAGCATCATTTGCCTAAAGGGACCTAACATGTCTGGGTGAAACAGGGCTAGCTCACATCTTTGGCGTCTTTGTCATGGCCTTGCGCTACGGAATGTGGCAAGCCCTTCCGGATTCTTTTGAGTGTGCGCATGATTCGTCGAAGCAGAGGCTGTCCAACATGAAAGACAACGAATCATGCGCGCTTAGCGCGTAAAGTCCCGCTTTCCCTGCAGTAGAGTGAACGTGCTGGCGTGGAATTGGCACTTCTCATGGTACGAAGCCGTTGTCAATCGGTGGCAGCTTGGGGTCTACGGACTCAAAAGGGTGAACAGATCGAAGTGATGGATCGAGAGTCCGCTGAAGATGGAAACCCGATCCGTGACAGTGATCGCGACGCTGAGTACTCTCTTATGCATATCAGCTGGTATAGCATCATAATACGGGATGCCAAACATGAGCAATCTTGGTGGTACTGGTGATTGTCCGGCTTCTTCGGCTCATCAGTTCTCTCGATTCGAGGGTTTAGCTAGACCGATTGGACGCCCCTTCCGTTGCAATCGTGCACTCTCAACAGAGAAAGCGGATTCCCTCGGTTATTGCCCCGCCTGATCATTGTGCATTCATCGTCGATCAATCACGGCTGATGAGGAACCGGCTAAGGCGCTGATTAACGTGGGTGTTGGTTGGGGGTCCACCTGTCGCCGCCGCTGCTGAGAATTCTCGCGCCATCTGCCGATTCCAAGAGTAGACGCCCGCATAGCCTTCCAGCCATGGAAGCTCAGGCTCGGTCCGTTGCAGTGCGAGGCGTAGATAGTTGAAACGAAGGACGAAGGCACTCGCAGTATCCCTAGTTGGGGTGCGGATGCCGCTTTGACGTCAGATGCTCTTACCACAAGCAGCTCCTTCCGCAGGTATGCGAATCCTGATCATGGGGTGCCATGTAGACAAGTCAACGCTCGGAGTGGATCAGCTGCAGCATGATGAGTGCAAGAAATGCGATCGGTGCTGGACAATGACACTGACTTGCAAGGTGGGGAGGAGAAACATGCGCAATCAGCTTCCATTCCATTAAACTCGCGTCAACTCAAGCAGTGCAGCTTGATCTAAACATCGTCACTTGACTCAACAAACACCCAAATAGAACCCAAATAGTACCGCACAAGAACTGAAAACGCCCTCGCCACGTGTTGAAAAAAAGCACGACTGCGACTCTCCAAGCCCATTTGCACTGATGTTGCAAGATGCTTCCTTTCAGCGCCGGCGGGGTGCGCACTGATAGAATGGTTAGCGCAGTGCGAAACCGTGGAACTGATAGACTGACCATGCAATGAGCGCACAGCTGATCCTTTTGGTCGACGAAGTTGTAATTTGATGGGTGACCTGCCTGCTGCCAGTTTGGGCATGGATATTTGTTGTAGCCACCACCTGTCGCGCCGGTAGGTCTGCCACCAGTAGACGACTGTGGCATTTGGTTTGAACAAGACGACATGATGAAGCTGGAGAGAGGATGAAGAGACGATTGGAAGTAGGTGTCGAATCTCGATATCTTGCAAGATGAAGGTCTGGAAAAATGATGGCTGTTCTGTAGTTATATATTTCGTATCGAAGATACTGCGCGCTTTATAGTTACACAAGATATTTTTCTCCATCGAGTCTTGCTATGCGGTTTCCGCGCCTCAATCAAAGATCACTAGACAGAGCAACGGTAGCTAGGTAATTTTCGCCCCTACCGAGAGCAGTCACATTGCATTGATGTTCGGGCCCGGGAAGTGGCCGTCAGGCAGTCTTGTCAGAACAGCGAATACGCCACACGGCACCACGAGCGCCTCACCACAACGGAGCGTCGGAAGGAAACCACCTCAACTGTGCCTCCGCCACACTAGTCTGCAACTCCCGGAGCCGCTCTGACAACATAATTTCTCCCGCAACACCTATCGTGCGATGCCTATTCCGCTCTGCCCTTCAATTCGGCTGTGCCGAGCCGGCCCTTTTGGCAAGCGCCGCACACACCGATTACATATTGCAACAACACCGGACAACCTGAGGCATCGGATTTTGGGTCCACTCCAACAGCCCTACCAGCCAAAAAAGCTTACGTATTCCGCTCCGAGTATCATCGAGTGTCTTACATCGGACCCACACATATAGCCTCCCCTGGAAGCAACAGTGCTACCTGTCAAGTGCTTGCAATCCAACATGGCGCTAAGGGTGAGTGAATTGGCTTCCTCCGAGCTATGGATTCTTGTATAGACCGCTGATCAATACCGCTACATCACAAGATGCTCAACCGATACCAGGCATCAGCCCGAACTCTCCTTGACCGGCACGTCATTTTATCCGCATCCATCCAATGACTCTGCATAGGGTCTATTACCCATACACAACATGCCATACGGCCCGATGGCTGTTGAATGAGACATACATACCAGCTTCCCGGGTAGAGCTGAGGGGACCTGCCGCGCTGTCGGACATGAGGCCGGTCGGTTTTATGGTATCATACGACCACCCTCAACAAGTACCTACACCGAGAGACCAGCCAGGCACCCGAGGGCATTTCAAGGGCACAAAGATATCAAGGGCTCACTGGTACTGCCTCAGGCAGCTTCCGAGAAGACTGAGTTGCCGAGACTTTAGGGTCGTGTGAGCGCTGGCTCCCGTGTCGGAAGCAACAGATACTACAACCACGTATCTTGTTCAAAGCCTAGAGTAACGTAACATCGTGGTTTCCATGGTAGTTGATGCTAGAGTCTGTATAGCTCAGAGCTTGTATTGTAGGATGCAAGACTTACGTCTGGGTTTGGGGACGATGCTAGAGCACAGGCTTCTCGGAGCAAGTTCCTAAGCTGTCGACGCCAGACTCCGAACATACAAATCGAAGAAGGGATCAAACTACCTGTTTGGTCTTCGCAAGGCAGAATCATACCCTCGAGCACTCTAATGGCGCATTTTCGAGCCAGTGAGGACGTTACTCGCACCGGGTGACTTCAGCGCTCCAAGCCGCCATACCGATCCGATGACTGACGCCACGGCCGGACTGACGAAGGAATATATCATCCAGCTGATATCGTCGGAGGGATTTCAGGCAGAGGATTCTAAGCTTCTGGCTTCGTTTCGTTCTGTTTCCTCAAGCTGCATCCAACGCATAAACGCGCTTCAAACTTCCTCCTCCACAACCGTGCCGCACGGCTCGCTCGATGCGACAACCGCGACTTTCAGCCACGAACTTGGCTGATCGGGATAAATGCTATCTATAAGCAACGTATTTGTCATTGTAGAAGAGGAAGCAGACCTTGGATGGTAGGGATGAGTGGTTGACAGTGACAATTGGGGGACGAAATGGGCAGAATACCCCAGCGATTGGCAACAAAGCTAGGAAGCTATTAGAGGGAGACATGGGAGTGAACAGTGGCGAACGCTAGTTTGCCGCTGGCGATAGGCACAAGCCGTCTTCTCGAGGCTGCACCTTTCCTCTGATCAGCATGCTCGGCCTTGCCGACTCCAGACCACACCCTACACGTCTTGGCAAAGGCTTCCTCGGAGATTTAACGTGCGAACGCTTCCTTTGGAGTACGGCGCAGTACCAATCACAATCATCGTCCAAAGGTCTTCATCATTGTGCAAAAGCAAACAATGCGTTATCGTCTATAAGCAATAACTACCATTGGGCAGACTACGTCTCGGCAACGCCTCCGTATGATAGAGGAGCTACTAGGATACTCTATAAGCGCTTGAAGTACCGCAAATGGTTGTCACGAAACCTCAATTAGGTTCGAGAAAGGGTGAAAGGAAGCGGGGAACCAAAGTATACTCCAGAGGCACTGCCTCACTGCATGGGGGCCAAAACCGATACTGACATGTTGACAGTCGTAGGCAACAATGGACTTCTATGAACTATGATAGGCGTGGAAATATTCAGTAAGCCACAATCTATACAAGGGGCGGTAGAGATGAGAGTGTGATCAACCGGTTGTCAAAGACCGGTGCGTTATCATACGTGATAGGCCACCGTCTGTTCAGCACCCTCCAGCATGACTCCCCCCGCTACGCATCAAATCTCCAACATGACTCCACCGCCTTCTTCAGCATCGAAGAACTCATCTTCTTCGTCTGATTCGTCCTCGGCTGCCGTCATTGGTACAACAGCAACACCCCCATCTTCCTCGTCTTCTTCATCTTCCTCTTCGTCATCCTCTGCTGCCTTCGTTGGTACAGAATCAGCAGCTGCGCCTTCAAGCAGCGCGATAACCTTCCAGGCAGCGATAGTCTCAGTCTGCAACCTCTTGACTCCCTCGACCACACCTCCCACATCCTTCCCGCCAATTTTCACCTGAACCCTATACCCCTTCTCCGGGCTACTCGCTCCTTTACCAGAATTGCGTTGGTCGCTCGTAACCCGGACGTACTTGATACCCTTATCCGCCGCAAGCGTATTGATTCGCTCTTTCGGATGCCAGCAGTCCACACCATCCCGAAGAATCCGCTCGAGACATGGCAGGATACCCAGACGACGAACAAACTCCTCGCACACGGAGATGGAGCCATGGGAATCGATGTAGAGGGTGCCGATAACGCTCTCGACTATATCAGAGAGGAACTTAGGTGGGTCAGTGAGCGAGAGTGCATGCCATGGGAAGCGGTTGTCGTGCGCTAGAGCTGTAGCGATCGCATGACGTGCCTCGTTATGTTGCTGCAGGGCTGCAGTCCGCCCGGCGATGAGCTCCGGGCTCGACGATCGGAGGAATTGCCATAGAGCTCTATGATGCACTTCTGGCTGGAAGGTTGATTTGTTGGTCAACTCTTCCGCTACCGTAGTCTCGAACATACAGTAAGTCAAGAACGCGGCGTTTACCATTGCTGTTCGGACGCCATGCATCTTCCAATGCGGCAGCCTCGACTCATGGGCGTAGAGCCTCTTCGAGATGATGTAGTCGAGCACTGCATCTCCGAGAAACTCAAAGCGTTCGTATGAGCAGTGTACGTTCGGGCCACGGAATGTAGAGTGGGTAAGCGATTCTAGTAAAAGGTCCTTCTTGTTGAACGTGTGGCCAAGTAACTTCTCGACCAAAGCCAAGTTCGTTACTGTGTCTTGAGACGGAGCTGCGTTGTAGAGTATCTCGTTCGCTTCCGGAATAGGCGTCCATTTCTCGAGTGGCAGGAGAGCTTGCACACATGCGAAAGCTTTGGGGAAGCCACCGACCAGATACGAGGCGCCGATGAGCGACTCAATGACATCGGCGATGAGTTTCGACGACTTCTCTTGCTTAGCCGGCGGCGCGCTGTCAGCGAGTGTATCACTAATATATCGCGGCTTCCACTTCGCGCCGGTGAAGTTCTTGTAGAAGATGAACTTGTCTAAACCCGCAGCAAGTGTAGCTCGCGCCAGGTAGCCGTTACTGACAAGCTTGCCTTTCTTCCCAGTGAGAATACCTTCGGGCATGATAAGATTTGCAGCCATCAGATGAAGCGAAGCGACGAACTTCAAGATACAGTCGCCAAGGAATTCCATTCTCTGGTAGTTGTCGCGCTTGTCAACCGCAGATGAAGTAAGTGCTGTGATGATGACTGGAAGGTCCGATGCCTCGAATCTAGCTGGCTGGAGAATCGTCGTCCGAAGTGTATCCGCGATCATGTATACCTCAAGCTTGTGCAGGATCGATGGTAACAACAAGGCCAGAATGGCGTATCTAGTCGGAAGAGTTTCAACAAGACATGATGAAGCTAGTAGACTCTCTACTTTGGTATACGCTTCACTCTTGTTTGCGTTCTCAAATACCGCATGTAGAAAGTCTCGACGTTTAGGCAAACGCACAACTTGTATCAGGGTTTCGTCAACGCCTGTCAGGTCTGAAGACTCTGGAAGCTCGATAGACATGGGCATAAACTTCCGGAGGTCTCCTTGAAAGGAAGTCAGACCCCAGCTCGATATGTCCAGGTTTCCTTGAGCCAGCATTTTGGATGCTGGGCGCTGGCCTTCCGTTGTCGCATTCCATTCGTATAGCTCGTTCTCTGTCATCATATATCCCGATGAGTCGCATGGAGCAAGTAGACAGAGAAAGTCGTCGATGCCTTTGATGATGTGTGCTCCGAAAACCGAGCGCAAAATCTTCCACGTGATGGAGCGTAACAGATCAATGTCGATGTCGACCAAAGATGTACCGTAAAGAGCGGAAGTCGTAGCAGTGTACTGTTTTGATTCGTTCCAATGTAGTAAGATAGTAGGAATCTCATGCATGGGAGCTGGCGTTAGTAGTATCATGCGCATCGGTTCCTCCCCTGACGCCTTCACCTCAAGCAAGGTGCGGTACCATAAGTCAGGTTCGCATTCATGAGATTGCGCAACCACCGCCCACGGATCGAGAGTTTGGGAAACAGGTACAAGGGATGGGCGATCGTCGGGGATTTGGTATTGGGCCGCATTGTCGTCTCCCTCTTCTTGGACGGGAAGAAGATTCTCGTTTACCAATCCGTGCAGATAAAGAGCCTTGTATGCCTCAAAGGCGGCGTCTTTCTGAGCCATTCGCTCGGTGCTCCACGACTGCAGACTCTTAGCTTTCCTTACAGTAGGGTCGACAGAAATTGGTAGCGTAATGGTAGCAGTGATCCGCCCCAGGGTGTTGGTAAAGTCGATTTCAGGTCGCGTGTCGACGTAGGCGTTGCCCCCTAAACGCGCGCAGAAGTGGTAGAGATGTTGAGCCGCGTTATCCAGAGTCAGCAATGCACTAGTGTCTCCAGTAAGTGAAGGCCGATTGGGCAAGGTACGAAAGCAAACGCTGCTAGTAAAGGCTTCTCACTCACCCGGTACTTGGGACACTGAAGTAGCGCTCACCCACCTCGTCCTTCTGTTCTGCCTCCTGAGCCACCTGAACTTTGCGCTTATCGTCTTCATACGCTCTCCTCATCTCAGCTTCAAGCCCTTGCCACGATGTTAAAGATCGTGTTTCGCCAGTATCTGGGACGAGAATGAAGTAACGCGACTCTTGTCGCCTCGCTCTTCCGCGTCGCTGAACAAAGCTTTTCAGATTCTTGGGTCTTTCGAAGCATACCACGAGATGGCAACTAGATACGTCGACGCCTTCTTCAAGAACGGTTGTAGCCAGGACGAGATTAATGACCCCAGCACGGAAGTCGTCAAGCGTGGTTTGTTGGTTGGCTGGTTCTGCCAGGGCGCATACGTTTGTTTTGCGCTTGCTTGTCTGCGACGTACCGACAAATGTCCCTACCCGCAACAGATCCTTGGTTCGTGGGTGGCATGCTAAAATTTCAGCAATTGATGCTACCCAGACTCGCTGTTCAATGAATACAAGACCGGTAAAGCCTGGGGTGCCATTGGCTTCAGCGACCAGAGTGTCGATAAGCTTTTCAACTTTGTGGGACATCTTCTCGATGATGATAGCAGGTGAAGGTGCAGGATTCTGAAGGGGAAGGCCTTGGAATATGCTCAGGAGATGTTGTCGCTCATTGGTGGTCAAATCCAGTAGTTGTTGATCCGAGCCGCAAGTTGTCTTTTCGAATTTGCCAATGCATTGGTGTACGTAGTACTCCATTGCCGAGATTCCGAGCTCGTCTGCCATGGCTTCAGCTTTAGACACCAGCTGTTTCAACTGGTCGAGGCAATAAGTCTTATTGCTATTCCACAGTTTGTTCAGCTGGCGAGAGACATCGAAGCCATGCTTTTGTTGGTCCAATAATGCGACGACGTACGGATCCTTTGCAAGATCATATGTGCGTAATGCATGCTGCAACGCGATAAGTAGTTGAGAATGCTGTTGCCCTGGAACGTTTAACGAGTAGTTGACCTGAAGTAACTCCGGTCTGTGAACATGCCGTATGAGTTCGGACCTATGAAGCTTTGGTGTCCTTACGGTGGCGTGCAGGTTCCGCTCTATCTCCCTACAAAGATCAGAATAGTACCCGCGTCCAAACAAGCCAAACTTACTGGAGACCCTGCTCGGTGGCTGCTGCTTTCATAACAGGGCTTGCACTCAGCCCAAGAACTTTGGGCAGCGACTTGCCACCATTATCCAATTGAGGCATATAGAAATTGGACATGATCAGATTTGCTGGGTGCTTCAAAGTACAGTGATGCGCTGCAGAATGTTAGCGGGGCCTTCTCTTGTCAACGCAACAGACTGGCCTTCGTCAAAAATCAACAAAGCCAGCTTGCTCAGCTTAACAAATCCGTGTGTGAGTGCGTCAAGCAATACCCTGCAAACGTATCAGCAGGCGCGTGTGGCTTCTCTTGCGCCCATGCTGTGGACTTACTGGTGTGTTGAAATTACGATGCGGATGTGATCCAAAACGCTGTCCCACTGCGCCTGAGTGGTCCAGAGATCAACGTCATCTCTTCCGCAAAGCAATTGGTATCCGAGTCCAGGTAAATGAGACTGGAAGACCTCATGTTGCTGCTCGCATAGTGTAACTGTGGGTGCTAGAAACCAGACGATCTAAAATGCGTCCCGAATTCGGTGAGATGAAGTTTAGTGTGGGGACTTAGCGGCAGGTATCCGTACCTTGTCGGGCTCGCACGTCTCCAACTCCGCTCGTGTCCGTTCGATGGCTCTGCAGACTTGTCAGTAAAATTCTCTCATAGCGAAATTCTTCTCCCTACATGTGCGTCTTTCCTGAGCCTGTGTCCATGACCACAATGACGTTGCCGTTCATGCTCTCTTCCACCATCTCAGCCTGATAACCTCGCAGTTGGAACGCCTCACTGGGCACAGCAGGAGGGGCTTCAGCATCGTTATCATCTTGCATTGGCGAATCCATTTGTAAATCGAGATGATGCGACACAAGTTAAAAAGCGTTGAAAGTCACCAACTTGGTGTTGGGTCTCAGTGCTCAAAGGCGACAGGGTGCTAGCTTGGCCGTGTTCTGACCGCGGACAATCGAAATGCAGAACCCCTCACGTACTTCTATCTGCTCTCGTTGTTGCACAAACAACCCAATTGGGTTTGTCGCGTCACTGTCTACGAACCAATGGGATCAAGTATTAGGCATTTCAAGACATCATTTTCGTAAATGCTACATAAGTCGCTTCATGCCCTTAGCACCAAGTCCATCTGTACCGACTCGGAGCAGGATGGTGCTGTGTCATAACCTTCTACCTCTACAAGTTGGTGAGGTAGTCCTCAACTTCGGACGGGCTCAACTTCCTGAATCGCGGTCCGACGGCTCCCTCGACACCCTCAGTACCAAGCAGCCTCTCCTCTGGCGGTCCGACAATGCCAATCTCAACGGTCTCGCCGTTCATCTCTCCTTCTATGGTCTCCTTGAGGGTGAGCAGGGCGATATGGATGGCGTCTTCGAGCTCGAGACCGTCGGTGTAGCGCTTCTCCAAGAAGGTCTTGGCGCTTGTCGCGCTCTTTCCTATGGCCGTAGCCTTCCAAGGGAAATAACTGCCGCTGGGGTCGACCTGGTAGAGACTTGGTCCGCCCTTGAGGATTCCACCAGTCTTTCCGCTGACCTTCTTCTTCTCTTCGCTCGTCTGCTCTTCGCTCTTGCCTTCGGCCTCAGGTTCGATACCATCGTCCCATCCAGCAATCAGCAGACTGACACCGTACGGCCTGACACCTCCAGACTGTGTAGCCTCCTGCATCACTCGCGCCACATCCTGTACTAATATCCTTGTGGGTGGGTATTCGTTGTAGACGCGCTTGTAGCCGGTATGTGAGACCTTGCGAGCCTTGTCGACGAGAACGCGGTAGTCAGGACCCATGCCCGAGTAGACCATACCGATGTTGGGTGTTATGAGACTGATCTTCGATGACGATTGCGAGTCGATGAGCGGCGATGACGATTTCTTCTCGGTAGCGAGGACAATGCCGTTGGTGGCTGCGAGCTCTAGTCAGCGCTGTTGGGGGGCTAATGAACGATATAACGCACCCTTGATTCCTAGTGAGGTAACACCCTGGTTGACGGCGTTCAAGGCATACTCTGTTCAGGTATTAGATGCTGTCTGCTACAAGAAGGCGGGAATCGTCATATCCCTGGGCCGCGTACCGATTTGTACCAGCTTTCCGCTACATGAATGTTAGCAAACATGTCGTGCGTAATCGATAGCGCAGTGTTTACCTGGGGGAGAAAGTGGTCAGGGAGAAGGAGTATCGGTCCGCCATGACGGTTGCTTGACAAAATCTAGAGGCGGTATATAGGAAGGGGCGTAGTCGGCGGCGGGAGGACGTTCAGTGGGGTTGGTAGACGACGCGGGTACTGGAGGCGATCTGCTAGAGCTCCAGGCTACCCAGAGCTTCGTCGCCGGAAGCGCCAAGACCGGCGCTCGGCGTAACCACAGTTCCGGTTTGTCTGAGGAAGCTGCAACCCCGAATTCTTTGAGCTTCCAGAACTGCTCCTCTGCATCACCACCCCGTTTACAACATCCTGCCACCGTGGCCCTAGTGTCATACCGCCCAAGGAGGCGGTGTCGGAACATGATCCGCACTACCGAGACACTTAAGTTGGCGAATGTCTTCCCCGCGGCTTCCTGATTGATCACTTCGTCATCTCATGCCTACCCACATGCTATATCACTGGTAAGAGCTGCATTAACCTCCGCCTTGTACCTTTACAGTTTCACACCCCGCCATGTCTTCTTCGTCCGGATATCAGGCCATGCCAGGCTGGTACTGGCCTGATGACGCGCCCAAGACAGAACCCGCCCACGCGACATCCCCCTCCACAGGTTCCACATCGCAACCGCCACCTTCAGCCACCTCCAATACTAGCGACAACTCCTCATCGCAGTCGCACAGCTCAAGACGCACCCACTGGCCGCCCAGACAATGCAGAATCTGCCTCGAGACAGTTCAGCCGACATTCAATGTTCCCTCACAAAGCCTTCCTGGCTTCTTACAGTCGTCCAACGTTGTGTACGAAGATGAAAGTGGCCGTCTGATCCGTCCATGTATGTGTAAGGGATCATCCAAGTATGTTCATGAAGCTTGTTTGCAAGCTTGGAGGCATGCAGACCCTAGCTATGGGCGTAGGAACTACTGGCAGTGTCCGACTTGTGGCTTCAAGTACCGACTTGCGCGTTTAGGAGTTGGGCGTTTCATAGGCAGCGCTGGTATGTATTCCATTTCACTTTAACAGAGCAGTGCTAATATGGACTATAGCTGCTCAGGTTGGTTTGACTGCCATTATATTGATATCCATCGTGTTCATCCTCGGCTTCGTTGCAGATCCTATTATCAACCTGTATCTGGACCCATGGAGCCTTTTCTCCCCCTTTTCCTCGTCGGAATCTGACTACGCTTATTACTACGAGGATGAGTCGGCCACTTGGTACGAGCACTTTGCGAAAGGCTTCGCTAGCATGGGTGTGCTTGGTTTCTTGAAAGTCCTCATCGCCAGCCCACTATCTTACTTCAGGATTGGAGGCGGTCGAGGTCGAACGACCGGTCGAGACAGATATGAGCAGGTCAGCTGGATCATCATCCTCATCGGTGTTGGCACATTTCTAGCGGTACGTGGAAAGCGATGAACATTATTGTGCAAATGCTGACAATGACCAGGCAGTATACAAAGGAGTCCGTGTATGGAGTCGCCGAACGCTTGAGAAAGCTGGCGAGCGTGTCATGGATGTCCAAGGTGACAATGATGACGATGACGAATAGCCATGACTGAAATGCATGCAGTCGCTTTTCGGTTTTCCTCCACTCAATGCTTGGTTCTACACTTTCCAAATTCCGCACTTTCTTAAATTGCCACAAGTTATTCCTCAATACTGTGTCGATTAGTCTACGTGCGAAGATCGAACCAGCCCACGACCTCCATATCGACATTGCGCGTTTTGTGCTCGTCGGCTTTGTGGAACGTGGAGCTACCTGCCATTGGCACTCATTTCGTCTACCTTGCCTGCTCCTGGAGCATCCTCTCTGTGGCTTGAACGAAAACAGGCCTTTGGCACATCTTATCAAAACTTGTAATGAATTAATTCTTGGGAATCACAAATGAAATCGCGCGCCCCCTTCATCACTTGCTAGTGACGCTGCCATCTATGAATCCCAAATAACGCCATGGGGTATGTACCTCAGCTAAGAAATGCTGCGAAGCCTGCCCGTCTATAATGGCATTGCTCTGCGATACCATACGCCCAAACCAAACCGAACCCAACTGTACCAATCCGATCCAACCGTGAACAAACGAGAAAAAGTACAATACAATATATAGGCCCAGGGTATCAATGTAGAATATTAAAAGCCACCTCTTCTCTCTCTCTTTTTCTTTCACCTAGTGATCGCCCAAACCGGGCTTACCACCCTTCATAAAGACACGCTTGGTCGCACCAACCTTGCCTAAATCACCAAATTCTGTCTTCTTTCCCCCTACAGCGCTGCCAGGGCGACTGTCACTCCTACTGTCGGTGCGCTCGAAATTTGGATGGCTTGAGGTAATGACGTTGCTGCTCACGGTGCGAGCCTGCTTCATCATGCCCTCAATCCACTCCAGCTTCTCGCCGCTGAGATCCAATTTCTTGGCTGATGGGCCCGCCATTCCGACTTCCCTACCCTGCCAGGAACTGCGAGACGAAGTTGTCGAGGGTATCGTCGGGTCTTCAGTAGTGGCACCTGGTGTTCCAGGAATGAAGCTGGGCATCGGCGGTGGCGCTTCGTCGCTTGTAAAGGCTAGACCAGATGACTTGACGGGTGTGGTGGATGGGCTGGCCAGAGGAAAGCCAACGCTGATGCGTCTTTCCATCTTACTCGCCCTGCTGTCAGGTCTCGTCGGCGAAGTATCGGGGTTCTTCACCTCCAGACCCAGTACCTCAAATTTGCCTTCGCTTGCTGTCCTGCGGCCGTGGTGCTCGGCGTACTGGCGCAGGTACTCGCCTAAGTCAGACCAACCACCGCCGACACGCACCATGACACGCTCGCCATTCTCGCCAACGCGGCGGATGAACAGCTTGATCGGCTGTTCTTTGCCAGGTTGTGTGAGATGATACAATTTGATATCGTTGTCGCCTCTCGCAGCTGCAGCCGACCTCCGTCCTGAAGCAGCGTTGTTCAACTCGAATTCAGTCTTTGCAGGGGACAGTGTGAGCTCAGGAGACTTGAGGCCGCTGACTGAGCGAGCTGCGCGTAAATATCCACGACTACTTTTCGCGAGAAGGCCACGCGCTGACTTGACTTCGGGCGCATCGGGGCCTGGGCCTGATCTAAGCCTAATGTGGGCGGGGATAGTCGTGAGGATGTCGGAGATCTTTCGCTCAAGTTCTTCAGCGCTGTTGTTCGCTTTCTGAGCAAAGTGCGTCGGTGGCCATGGAGCGCTTGATGTGTCATCAGCAGTGGTAGTAGTCTTGACTGGCCGACGCTTCGCCATGGCTGCATTCAGTTCAGGGCGTGGCGCTCTCATAGAACGGTTAGTGGCGTTTCGGACTGAAGGAGACTCCTCGATGGTACTAGGTGGGCTTGAATCAGGCGACATATCTGTGGACAGCGAACTAAGACTGCCTCTCCATGATCGCGGCGTTTGAGGAGGCTCCATAACGGGGCTGTCCTGTCCATCGTTCTTTGTAATCGTGGGATTGCCGAAAAGCGCCAGAGGTTTGGGCCTGCCTTGTAAAGATGCTTGGGATGAATGGTCGTCAGTCTCTGTATGGATGGCGACTTCTTCGGGGCCTTCATCAAGATCGTACTGTACAACAGTGTCGCCTTCTTCGAACTCCGAGTCTTCGTCAACAGAGGCCGGTCCTGGTTCGAAGCTCATCTTCTCTAGATGTGTGGTCGCAGTAGGGGACTTCGATGGTGACGCGAAACCTTGTGCCAGCTCGTGTTCGGTAACATCGGTCTCACCCGAGACTTGTCGTGCGTTGCTGGAGCCGATGGAGGTATGAAGTGTTGAGTTACTGCTGCTCGATGCGTTCATGGCATAGTCTCCAGAGAAGATCCCACGCTGGGGCGCACTGAAGTAGTCATCCTGCATGGCGTTCTGGCGGCTGCTCTGCGAAGCAAGCTTCGGTGGTGGCGATTGGAGTGTAGATGCGACAGAGTCGATTCGAGCATTGAGAGCATCCAATCTGGACGTAGTAGCGGATTGCACAGCCGCAGTGGGTGCGATAATGGACACATCGTTACCAGCATTAACTGATGAGGATGCTGTTGTCAATACCCGCTCGCCGCTTGTATGTGCAGTCGTACCCGCATCGACCTCTGGTTGTAGCGCAGGTTCAGGGGCGCCCTTCCCGGTAGTGTTAAAACCTTCCGCCCGTCTCCGAACCTCGAGATCGATTATCCTCCTTCTTGATTCGTGTTTCCATTGCCCATAGTCATTCTCTGTAGTTTCAAAGACGTCTATCCAGTCCTCGGGTAGACTGTCCTCCTGTCCTTCGAGTGTGTCGAGCATCTTGTCTAGTTGCCTCCCCAAGTCGCTGACCTTCTGATGAAGCACAAGCGATATGGTGTCTACTGCCTTTTTCCACTGCTCAAATGCAGCGTCGGACGTGTCTGCTGGCGCCTCGATGGCATCCCAGCCTAGCCGCATAGCTTCTTGCGCCGTATCGAGTTCGCTGGTGTAACGCGGGGCTTCGCGGAGGATGGAGACGCGGGCGGTCCACGTGCTTAGGCGGGCTTTGAGCTGGGCGTGGTGCGGTAGGGCGGATAGGAGGGTCTGGGTGATGAGAAAGGAGAAGTCGTCCATGACCTTGTAGTGCTGGCGATTGGCCTCGTAGCCCGCAGAGGACGGCCTCGACCTGCCTGCCGGGTGCATATCCAGCACGTGCTCCTTCAGCTCTTCGACATCAAGCTTCAGCATCTCGTCGGCGATGTCGTCGAGGCGCGCCTCGTGTTGCTCCACCTCGACCGACAGCATCGAACCCCAGTATTCTAATGGCGGCATGACATTGCCCATGTCGGAATCGGCGACGTGCTCCCTGATGCGCAGCTCGATGCTCTTCCTCCTCTGCTCGCGGACCTGGGCGCTGGGCTGCTCGAAGCTGCCCGACCACCCCCATTGCTCAATCTCGGCGCACCATATCTTCAGCCGCTGCGCAGCCTTTGCGACGCGCGATCCCAAGTCTCTCTCGGCGGCGGTGAGAGTCTCGATGCAGGAAAACATTTTGTATTCGTCGCGTGTTGTGTCGAACGGCATCGGCTTTTGTGTGAAGGCGCGGAGGGTCGTCTCGGGCGACAGGTCGCGGAGGCGGGTCTCTTCCGAGCTGCCATACGTTCTGCCTCGTCTGCCGGCGGGTGACATGGCTGGTGATGGGACGCGACGGGGCGTGAGGGGCGGGATCATGCGCATAGGCGACCGAAAGACATCCATGATGGCGGTTGACAAAAGTTGAAAGAGCGACTGGTGACAAGGAAGGTACAAAGGAGACGAGTCTCAGACAGAGAAGGTGCGGCTGGCTTTGTCGCTATCAATGCGACGGTCAGTAAATCGTGTCCTTTGTCTCCTTCCTGTTGCCGCCGTGTTTGCGCTGCCGGCAGCCCAATGTTTATTGACTGACGCAGTCTTCGCCGAACATCTTGCGCCGTGCACTCTTGCATTGGTTCACCCGCCTTTCGATATGACTAAGCCCAAAAGCGTGCTAGCCGTAGATCACTTTCGGACTCGACTCCTGCGCCCTCACCAACATTGCGTGACATCGCATTGAGATGGTACCTTGATGGACCGCAGAAAACATATAAGTGAGATGCTCCGTTCATCATTCCTGAGCTCTAATTCTGTCTCTTCTACGCTGCCAAGTGCATCGCGGAATAAGGACGCGCCCATCACGCGTCTCCGCACTCCCCCGCATTCAACTTCAACCGGCCATCCTCTGCTCTGTGCCGTCTACGCAGAACCATATTATACTTTCCACCACCGTTACTTTTCTTCGGACGGCTTTCGGGTCAGCCTCTGGCGACGTGCACGGAACGGCGGCGTCGGTATGCGCACTTTTCCGATCTGCTATCTGACCGTCAGATTTTGACCGCAGAAGATACGTGCATCGAAGCGGCATCTCTTCCTCATTTCAGAAGCTACCCCACCACCTATATCGTCATTCCTCTCTGCCAAGCACCTTAATGCTCCGCCCCGCGTTCATATCTCTTCGACCTTCCGGAGTGCGTTAGCCAATTGCCTGTATACCTCGCGGTTACGCAGTGCCTGCGTCCAGCTACAGCTACCCGCATGTCGGGATACGATGGCACGAGAGAGCAGGGAACTCGCCAGGTTCAGTAGAAGCAGCTATCCTCGGAATGGAAGCCTTGACGTTATCGTACCGAACGCCGACGGAACTGCCTGCGAGTACTTAAAGTACCATGCAACCTATCGTTGTTCGGTACCCTTCTGTCTCTGTGAAGTGTGCATTTGTCAGTCAATATGAGAACAGCACTTCTAGCGCTCGCTGCCATTGGCGCTCAAGCCTGTCAGCGTGAACGTGCATTCTTCCATCACCCGCATAAGCATGTCAAGAGGCAATCCGTCTTCCCTCCAGCCTTGACGCCCAATGAGGAGATCTTGCTGAACTCGTTCGATTCCGTCTCGATATCGGAATGGTCGTACTACTATAGTATGGCTCTCGGGCTCGATACAAAGTGTATGCTAACAAAATGCAGCTCATGGCCAGCATTTGGCCGGTCAGAACGAGTCAATGGGTATTTGAAGCCTTTCCCGGACCGATCCGACATGCAACTAATCCTTGACACAGCACAGTGGACAGCTGACAAATGGTCTGAATATGGCTTCACATCAAGGCTCGACGAATACTGTATGAAAGTGTTGATAATCGTTGCGGCAGGCACTAACAAGACGCAGATGTCTTCCTCAACTATCCTGTATCGAACTCGCTACAGCTTACCTATTCCAACGGTAGTACTTACACCCCGACCCTCATGGAAGATGTACTGGAAGAGGACGAGACCACCAGCTATCCCAACAGTGTCCCCGTCTTCCATGGCTACAGCTTCACAGGCAACGCATCTGCAGAATACGTTTACGTCGGAAGAGGCCAGCAGGTCGACTTTGACCGCCTCGAAGCTCTTGGTGTCGAACTTGAGGGCAAGATCGCTCTAGCAAAGTACGGTGGACCATTCCGTGGGCTGAAAGTCAAGAATGCACAAGATCACGGCATGATCGGTGCTGTGATCTTCACCGATCCTGGTGATGACGGCAATATGACTGAAGGTGAGCGTGTTTGACCTCTTTCCAAAACTACCCGTTAACAATTTTCAGCGAAGGGAGTGGCTCCATACCCCTACGGCGGAGCGAGGAACCCTTCAACCGTTCAACGCGGATCTGTCCAGTTCTTGTCTACGTATCCCGGCGACCCAACTACTCCAGGTTACGTCTCCAAGCCAGACTCCCCACGCGCAGATCGCACCGACATCACCCCGCAAATTCCATCACTGCCTATCTCCTGGATCGAGGCTCAACCGCTTCTCCAAGCCCTCAACGGCTTTGGAACCAACGGCACCGAGGTCAACAGGACGCGGTGGGTTGGTGCTATCCCCGGCGTAGACTACTTCACTGGCGAGGGATCCGGCGCATCGCTTTCATTGAGCAATGTAATGAACGACACCTACGGTACCATCTGGAACGCAGTCGGCATCATCAACGGTACGAACGAAGACGAGGTCGTCATTGTGGGCAACCATCGTGACGCTTGGATTGTTGGCGGTGCCGCCGACCCCAATTCCGGATCCGCTGTACTTATCGAGCTGGCCAAGGCTTTCGGCGCTCTTGCCGAGACAGGCTGGAAACCAATGCGAACCATTGTACTCTGCAGCTGGGACGCCGAAGAGTATGGTCTTGTTGGAAGGTAAGACTAAAATGTTATATGAACGAGTCAGGGTACTGATAAATCATAGTACTGAGTGGATGGAGGAGTACATCCCTTGGCTGAAGAACGCCGCCGTGTCCTACCTCAACATCGACGTCGCTGTCAGTGGACCAATCCCAGACGTTTCAGCAACCCCAGACTTACACGCCATCGCCACCGGCCTGATGAAGAAGGTCGTGTACCCCTACCGCAACGACACCGGTCTCACCATGTACGATGTCTGGTCGCACGAAAGCGGTGAAGTCGGTGTACTCGGCAGTGGTAGTGACTATACCGCTTTCCTCCACCGTGGTATCGCATCCATCGATATGGGTGCTGGCGGAGGTCAGTGACATTTCTGTACAAATTGTATGAGACAGATACTGACTTCATACACCCATCTCTAGGTCCAAACGATCCCGTTTACCCTTACCACAGCAACTACGACTCCTACCACTGGATGGCCACGTTTGGAGACCCTGGCTTCGTCACCCACAAGGCGATGGGCCAGTTCCTCACTCTCCTCTTGTACCACATGGTATCCGACCCCGTCCTGCCCCTTGAGCCAGCAGATTACGTCTCAGAGCTCAACACTTACCTTGAAGCTCTCGAGACGGATATCAGCAGCAGCAACTTCACCGTTGACCTTACAAACCTCACTGCCGCTATCACCCAATTCGAAACCTCCGCCCAGGAGTTTGTCGATCTAAGAGATCAAGCTGTTGCTGCGAATGACACGGAGCTCATCACTGTGCAGAACCACAAGGCGAGGGACTTCTCCCGGGGCTTCACTTCGCAGGGTGGACTGCCCACCAGAGAGTTCTATCAGCATACTATCTTCGCTCCTGGGCGCGATACAGGATACGCGCCTGTAACGTTCCCGGGTATCACGGAAAGCATCACGTTTGATCAGGATGCGGACTTGGCGCAGGAGTGGGTGCAGAAGACTAGTGATGCGATTTTGGTGGCTGCTAGTATCCTGAAGACCTAGAGAGTCGATCTGAGCGCAATACTGCGATGACTAATTTGGTGGTAGTGGAGGGTGGAGGAGATACCCTAGTGAAGACCTTGATAAGGGAGAGATAAGTCATCAGTAGTAGAAAGAATAATGATAATGTATGCTGCAGACTCCAAACCTCACCTCTCCCTCTACTTCACAACAGCAAGCAAGAACCCATCGTAGGACTTCTCCCCAACCGTCTGCAACACCACACCATCCAGCCTCTCATCCTTCCCCACATTCTCCACCACCCTCTTCGCCCCAGCAATCCTGGGATCATCCGTCTCTTCCGCTAACTGCCCCTTCCGCACCACATTATCCACAATAACGCATGCACCCGCCTCACACATACCCAGCGCTATATCCACATAGTTCCAGTTATTCTCCTTATCCGCGTCAATGAAGACGAAGTCGAATTTCGGCCTCTTGCCGTCTCTGACCTGCTGTGCCAGAGCAGGAAGGATGTCCATACCAGGCCCTTCTTTGATGTCCACATTGTCTTTCAAACCCGCGGTCTGGATATTCGACCGTGCGACATTGGCGTGGTGCATATCGACTTCGACGCTTATTACTCTTACGTTGGGACTGGATGTTGCGAGCCAGATGGTGCTGTATCCGCCCAATGTGCCTACTTCGAGGATGTTCTTGGAGCGTGCGAGGCGTGCGGTGAGTTGGAGGTATTTGCCTTGGGAGGGCGACACGGCGATGTCTGGCAGGCCTGCTTTCTGAGAGGCGTCGAGGGCGTGTTGGAGGGCGGATGGGGAAGGGGATGTGCGCGTGGAGGGGTGGAGGTGTCCGAACGAGTAGGTGTCAACTGCTGTCCATCGCGGGTCTTTTTCGTGGGACTGGCCTGGCTGCGGCATAGTGAGGATGCTGTTAGAGCTCCAGGATGGAGGTTAGTTGCTGGTTAGTGACGCGCTCTGGAGGCGCGGATTGACGCGTCTTTATAGAGAGATCATGTCGGTTCAGTCGGGCATGCCAGATGTGACTCGTATCTCATAATGCATCTGCCTAAGGAGCATTGAGCAGTCATTGGATGGCATCGAAGAGGGGTGGCGGATGAGCATTCAACCAGCTCGCGGAAGCTTGCTATGGGGCGATCTGATAAGCACAACTCCGAGCTTCGATCTCCGATATCGCCGAGCACACGCAAGCAGTCCACAAGGCAAGCACGCGAAGCAAGCAACATCAACAGAAGGAAAATAACGATTGTATCATTCAATACGCCTTCGCCATCTCACCTACATACTCATTGATCGCCTTCCGAATATCCACCTTCTTCACAGCCTGCAGGTCCTTCAACCTCGCGTGTGAAGCCTGGTGCGCGAGCCGTCGCGCTTCCGGGGGCAGGGGCGGAAGTCCTTTGTTCACGTCCAGCGATGTGACACGCGTTACGTGCTTCAATGGGCTAGGCCTGTACGGCCGGTGGAAACCATATGGCATGATGTTGGTGGAGTGAGTGCTGCAAGGCCTGGGTCTGCTGAAGCTAGAGTTGTGACTCACTCTTTGGGACTTGGTGTCGCTAGGCACGCTTTGGCTTGCGCGATGGCTGTTGAGATTTCGCATGGCGTTGAGGATGTGAGCTGAGGTGGATAGATCTGGTTGGGCATTTGACGCGTCGGCTTGTTCCCTGAACGCAGGATGGCAGTCGTTGGCTGATATCTGGCTTGCGCCAGAAGCTCGTAACTTGGCGTTGGAGAGTTTGGCTTGCAACTTCTGGTCAAACTTCCCCACCAGAGTGGTGTTCATTGTGGAGTGGGATGTTGTTCTGCTGATTCGCTTCCAGAGGCCTACAGAGGATTCCTTAGGACCTGGTGAGTTTGGTCGTGTGTTTTCTTGGAGGCTGTCGTATTTCCTCTTTGGCCTCAGCCAGGATAACATTGTAGGTCTCATCCTGGTGACCTGCATACCAATTTCCGCTTTCGAAAAGTCGACCGAGTCAGCTGAAGAGTCGGATGAGAAACATGATCGGGATATCTCATGGTCTTCGCTGGAACGTCGATCATCAGAATGGTCTAGATCTTCGACATCATCCTGTCTGGGTGACTGCTCCGTCGTTCCGTCGATCCTCACAATCTCCAGAGGATTTGAGGGTTGGGGTGGACCGTGGTGGCAGACGTCTATGCCGTTGGTCTTAAGAAGTTCCGCTCCGCAGCTTGGCTCACTGGACTGGACTCTGTCGTTTCCACCGCCGCTCGTTGTTGATGCATGCCCTTCTTTCCCAAGGGTCGACACGTCCCATTCAACAACGCCCGATCGACGTACGGAAATCCGCCATGTTTTGTCGCGCGCGTCCGACTCTCCGACAGCTGTAACCTCTTCTTGCGCGACATCGTTCTCCGGGAGATCGCCATCATCGGGCACATATCGCGATACAAGCTCTGCAATGTCGTCGAAGCTCAGGTTCTTATTGCGGAGCAGGTAGGAGAACCTGAGCCAGTCCAAGTCGCTTGTCGGGCCGAGGGTGACCACCAGTGGCGTGCGTGGAGCATCAAGATGAAGGTCTTGGAGGTATTCATGTTGCTTTCTTGTTTCCGTGCGGGTGCACTTGTCGCTCTTAGACTTCGGCGTGGTATTCTGGTGGACCTCTAAAGCACTATCTTTTCGTCGACGACCTCCGCCACAGGATTCGCAATTCGCCCAGCAGCCAATGTCTTCACCATCGCCGCCTCCCCGAAGGGGCCACATGTCGCCGAAAGTATGGACAAACGGCGAAGGCGAAGATGCCGGCGACTCGACCTTGCGACGACCATCAAGAAACCTCACCACTCTGATAGAGTCATCGTCGTTACCGACGATCTCATTCATCAATGGCCATTGTTCCTCCTCTTCCCCTCCACAACAACTGATGCGTTCCAATTCTTTCAATGCAGCTTCGAACCCTGATCTAGCCTCACTGAGCAATCCTCGATCGGGACGCATCGTCTCTCCTTGGTAGACCGCTACGGATCTCACTCTTTCTCCTTTACCGCTCTCTTGCATCTTGCAACGCTCTTCACGTAACCTGATTGCGCACGGTCCGCACCGTACCAGCGTGTATATGGGCCACTCTTTGCTCTGTCCCTCGACTTGGTTTGGATCTATGAGTGTATGTAAGACTCCCTTCTGGTCAGCTGGCTTTGAGACTTGAAAGAACTCGTCAGGATGACCGCAGATATAGGCACGGCGGAAAGCGTATGGATATGCTGGGGGTGCAGCTATGTGAGTCGTTACAAGCTCAGTCTGCACTGCTACTACTAGTGGGTTCTTATCAGCCATGACTCCTGGTAGATAGTGGGGGTCTTGCCGCGGTACTACTCGGGAAATAACAAGAGTGAGGAATGACACATACAGTTGGATGTTGGTGTTGCAGTTTGTTGGCCACGCGGTCACTATGTTCGGGGCCGATACAACACGATTGTGCCACCTCAACGACAACGACGCACCGCGCACCACCGTGACATAACAGTCAGTATGAAGAGCGGATTTTGCAAACATTTGAAGATGCAGCGACGTCAGTCGTCTTTGTGAGGCGTCGACGTTACGCCACACATCTCGTTCCGTCGATTTAGCGTCGTTCGGGATCACCGTGACTAGGGCTATGTAAGGGTTGAAAGGCTTTTCATTCAATACTATTGAACCCGCCGTAGCAAAGTTCATTATTACGCTGTAATAGGTAACGCCATATCACCATCTCCATCTTTGTGACGCATCCGTCCCCCGGATATCGGATGTGCAAATGACGCTTCTCCAAAACGACAACGCCGCGCTTGCTAAATGACCAGAAAATTACAAGAAGATCTAGAACCACACCGTTCTCGATAACAACCTACGCACCGTAGTTTTGTCCCGTACTCACGGCTGCATATCCGGCTGGCGCGTGACCCATATATCCCTGGGGGGCCAGCGGATCGTGGCTTGACATCGGGGGGCTTGTTATCGGCGGAGTAGCAAGCGGCTCCATAGCGTAGCTTTGGGGCCGCGAGTGGTATTCTGTGCTTTGTGCCGTGAGTGGCACCATGTCTTCGGGTCGTGTGCTCCACCGTGCCGTATTGCGCATCTCTTCCAACCCCGCGCCGTGCGGCACATGCCCGTGTGCCGCACCCGTCTCGTGCACGGATCCGTGAGGACTATGTCCGTGTCCATGGTGTCCAGGCTCTTCATACTCCAACGCATATGGCTTCCCGCTCTTTTGAAGTTTCCAGTTGCAGTAGATCGAGCTTAGCTTGTCGCTGACCAGGATGAGGAAGAGGAACACGACGCAAATTGGTAGGAGCGCAGGTGACTCAATGACGGAATGTAATCGCTCGGTGTCGGCCATCAGAGCCAACATTGCGCCCCCAACGCCGAGGGTAAGACTGCGGGATATGATGGACGTAAAGTCGAAGAGGTCGGCCTTGTGGCGGCGAATTAACAAAAGAAATATGATGAGACAGACGAGAAGGAGGCAGAACGACGACCAGAAGTAGAGATAGACGAGCTCGAATCCTTTGAGACCGACCTCGAGGGGACTGTAGTCCTTCAGTTTGTCGACTGGGATCTTCATGCCGAGACCAGTGTATAGGCCGTTGTTGAGAAGGTGAGATACGTTCTTGAGTGCTCCGGGCCAGTCGTCATCTTCCTCGCCCATGTTGTACTCTGTGGTGTTTTGTTGCGAGCAGATGTTTGTAGCGTTACCGACACTCCAGATAGCCGTCTGAGCTTGGTTGTAGAAGCTCTTAGTCTCATACTTGCTGTCGAGCTCGAAATACTCTAAAAGGTACTGCAGCTTGTCTTGTAGTTTTTGGCCGTCGAGATGATCCGTTTGGCAGTATTGGAGGATGGAAGTAGTAACTTTCCTGGTATTTTTAGCAACGTAGCGGGCCAGAGCAACTTGCTGCGAGCCTTCCACGACACCGACAATAGCAAGTTGAAAGGGAAAATGTAACAGTGACCAGATTTGCTGACGAATGGTTCCATAGTGACCGTGGGGAAAGTTGTCGAAGTACCTGGGTACTGTTAGCTCACATGCGTCATGTCTTCCATACCTGCATATACTTACAGAGCCCAAATCAACACAAGAACAACGATGATGCACATGATTAAGAAGCATCCCTCAACTTCCAATCCGTGCTTCCCCATCATCCTGCTAACTGTCTTTGTGACACCAATTGCACCCTCGCCAATAACGATGATTGTCAACAAGCTCATGCGCTCCATCAAGTGGGTCTTTTTGAAACTCATCATGCGCCAGAAGCACGATATAGCAACGACTGCGATGGCTTCAAGCACCATGACGACGTACCAAACAAGGTAGACTAGGCGTCTACGATGATCGCCCTCAACCTTGAAGGCGGGTGTCATGCCAGCGAATGCACCCATACTGATCGCATAGACGGCGAACATAAGAATGATCGGGAGGTAGATCTTGGTATACTTCGCTCTCCAAGTGAAGAAGAGTACCACAAGATACTGGATGGCGAGAAGACCACGGCTTATGACTAGGGTGTAGCATAGGATACGGAAGTTCTACATGGCTTAGTATACCTTTTGCTTCAATGTGAGTAATAAACTTACAGTGTTGTTCCCTTGACCTTTCGCGCTTGCTGGGTTGAACTGGCTTCCGACTAGCGCCAGACCGACAAAGACGATGAATTGAATCGTTTTGCACACGCGCTCATAGAGCGAATCCCGCGCAAACCGTACATCGTGAAGTGTGATCTGGAACCAACACGACCACAATATGCCAAAGAAACCGATGTATGCCAGCAGATAGTCGATGTCGGTAATAGAGTGGTAGGCTGTAAAAGTCGCAAGATTGGCAACAAAGAATAAATCGAAGAAAAGTTCCACGCTATTCGCTTCGTGCCGTTGAGAGAAGACGAGGTGTTCGTGATCGGCACCAACTAGCGGGGATTCGATAAACGGTGTTGTCTTGTGCAGCCGTCTAAGATGCTTTTCCGCATCAACATCGCGTTTGTGGCCGTGAAAAGTCCAGCCCATGATGCCAATTTCCCACAAAGTCGACGAGAAACAACCACAACTCAACTCCAACGGTCAGGAAAGGAGCAGCGAGGTTAAATCAAAGACAGACGGACAAGACTACCAAGACAAATACGAGCTGCCTTCGGCGCCGCAGTGAGTCTTATGCAAATCCCAATTCGCATACTACACGCGACACGAGATAGCCCCGCAAGCTATGGCGCATGTTCTATCTTGGGGCTGGAGGCCCAGGCCGCAAGTACGGTTCCGCCTTGAGTCCGCTAGCAACGGTACCAATAGCACCGCATAGCGGCGCGTTACACGGTTTGCGCTGGCGGAGCACGCATGGTGGGTTAGGTCGTGCTAAGCCGGAGGAAGCTTTCACCACCAAGCCTGCGCGGGTCGGGCTCAGCAGCAAGCCAGCGCAACAATGCTGACAGCGCTATCGTCAATCGGAAGAGCACAGATGCTGGAGTACTGGTTGTAGCGTACGTCGGTCCAATCATTGCCTCCACGTGAGGCTTGGCGGGCTGGTGTGTCGAATTAGACGGTGTGGAAGATAGGAGAGTCAGCTCAGCCCTGAGATCCGTAGACGGGCCGCTAGCGGTGCAGGCGTCCAGCGTCGAGTCTGTGGCGGAGGTGCCTCGCCAGCTAGCCTCTTCGTAAGACGAAGTCATCGCTGCAGCTGTTGAAACGCATCTTTTTTGTCTTGCATTGGTAGAGGTGCGGCAGTAACACTCGTACGCAGCCCACGATCACCCGCCCGCAGCCGCTCAGCTCGGCGTTCTGCGTTGCCCCTACAGCCCTTTTGCATCCACAACCTCTTTTCGGCAACTATCAAACCTCACCAAGCCGGCGTTGCGCAGATATCACTTCCTCTTCGCTCCCGGTCTTACACGCCCCACTCATCCTCAGAAGCTCACAACACTGGGCCGAACGTGGTACCCGGTGATCCAGAGGTGCATGCTCATGCACCTCACGCCCCATCTCCAACAGCTCGCCTGATGTGCTTACATGAGGCCCGCTATTTGCAGACGGGAGGAACCGCAAATACAGCCATTCTGACCCCCATTCAGTAAACATACCGAGCTTGCCTCACCCATGGAATAATCTCACAGATCGTCATGTGTCCTCTGACTTGGAAAACGTTGTTTGCCTTTAGTTACCGCAACAGTCACAACAGATGCTCAAAGAATATTGATATTGTATTGGCTGAAACCACAACCAGCAAACGATTTCTAGATCTGCCATTTGAACGCCGCGCTGATAGACAAGGTTCGAGGGGCCTAAGCCATGCAAGTATGCTGTAAAATGCAACAGGTACGATGAAGTCTTCACTTCCGTATCAGACCAGTCCGTTCATTCGCGCCCTCGCCAATCTCCTCCTCTTCATCTTCGTCTTCGCTATCATCTTCGCTCCACCCTTCGGCTTCCAGTCCATCGCCACGAATACCGAAGCTTAAAAGGAAACCGAGGAGTGCGATACCAGCGAAAATGCCAAAAGGCAGGGCTTCACCTTTGGGCTTCAACTTGGTAGCTGCTGTGAAAAGCGAACCTGACACGAAGGGTCCGGCAGCGCGACCAGCAGCAGAGAGCGTCTGAGCGAGGCCATTCAGCGTACCGAGCACGTTGTGATTGGGTGCGGAGTTAGTGATCTGCATAATGTCAGCATCCGTAGAGCGCGTCATGTTGGAATTAGAGTAACTTACCATAAGGAGTGCAGCTGTCAGGCCACCGACACCTGCAATCGTTTTGATAACCAGCACAACGCCGAGCTCAAACCACAACCAACCAGCACCCGTACCAATGCCCTTGTATCCGTTGCTCTCTTTGTAGCCCACAAACGGCATGAGACCGAAGGCTGCAATGAACAGCCCTAAGCTGACTCTGTACCCCATCTTGTTGCCCATCTTGTCTCGAAGCCTGCCAAATATGCCCACCTGGAACAGTATCGTTATAGCGCCTGCGAATGACAGAGATAGTCCGACAGCCTCAGGCTTCAGCCCGCGTCCGGTAGGTGGTTGCTCTTCCGCGAAGATCGGATACAGAGAATTGTAGGAGATGTTAGCGAGCTGGAATATGAAGTACGTTATGAGAAGCAGGACTGTGTCCCGGTTCAAGATCTCCTTCCGTGTAAGTTCGTCGCCGCTACTGTGTGGGAATAGTGTAGGCGCAGATTCTTCAGAGGCGTCGGATGCGTCGTCCTCGTCTACATCGTCCACACCACCGTGTGAGTTGTGGGTTTTGTGATTGCCTAGGAGGCGTCGTACGTAGGTAGGTCGCGTGGAGCTCGAGAACTGCCACATCCATGAGAACAAGTTGCCCAGTCTCTTTCCGAGAGGTGGCAGATTCTTGGCTTCTTCCAAACTCTCCTCCAAGAAGAGCATACACACTATCAGGTCTATCGCGAGGACGAGGGCCGAAAAGAGGTTCGGGAGGAGGTACGGGTAGGGATTCGACTGGCTCTTGTTGAACGGGTTCTGATAAAGCACCAAGAGTCCTCCTACGATCGGTCCCGTTATGCCACCGATACCGTAGACGACGGGCAGATAGGTAAATGCGCGCGATTGGTTGCTTCGATCCGTAATCTCGCCCAAACACGTCGACACAACGCCAGAGTTTCCATTGACCAAGCCCATCAGGGCCTGCACGAGTATAGCTTGCCATAGCTCCCTGCAGAAGCCAAAGGCCAGAAAACAGCACATGGTCAAAAATGTGCCCGTGATTATTACCGGCTTTCGTCCGATCTTATCCGACAGCCAGCCCCAAAAGAAATTTGTTGTGAATTGTGCCAACGCGAAAGACGACGCGATGAGTCCGACGTATAGACCTGTCTGTCCATCCTTGACAGCGGAAAACGATTTCGTCATCTCAGGCAGATAAGGGCCTATTGAGTTGAGCGCCGTTTGCTCAGCGAGAGCTATGACAGCTAGCACGATGAGCTGCTTCGTCGGTAGGGGCTTTTCATGGTGGGTATGGCTGCCGTCTTCGGATCGGTTGCCATCTTGACCGGACGGGGCGTCAGATGGTGGTCGGCCGCGGGATTTAGGGGGGATAGTTGGGAAGGTCGTGTAATCTACATGGGGATGTACCAGTCAGTATATGTCTCCTATCTATTCCGTATAGGATGTTACCTACGAAGCGTTGACCTGCGCGCATCAAGGCCTGGCCGGGTTGATGGCATCGTCGCGGAATGTACTACCTCTGTGAGGCCGAATTGCTATAACAAGCTTTCGCATGCATTGGGGCGCAGGGCTGTTGCTGGTTATGTCGACACTAACGCGCAAGGCTACACAAGTATGTCAGATAACTCTATGGAGGCGCGATTTGATGATGGGGTTCTCGAATGCAGGAGGCTGAAAGATGCGGTTTGCTGTGCAGATTTCAAGCTGGGATCACGCGCGGCTCAAGCTACGTCATTATCGCAGGAACCCGCTGGCTTGGCGCGAGATCTACACCCTCGATGCTGTCTCTCGATCACGTATCTGACTAATCAATGTTTCCTTCACATCTTCTCTTCATGTCGACCCCGTCTTTTGATTAGGCAGGTCCGATTGAAATACGTTGCGCTGTTTGCGACAACCCGCTGGCCTACCCAACGACTTCGCAAACACAGATCCCAGGACGCGTTTTCATCTCGGTGCACATCAAGCCATGTTCGCATGATGCGAACGGGCCAGGTGAAGCTTGGGAAGTGCGACAGGCACAGTGTGCATGCCGGTCGGCAGAGGAGGCTGGCGAATCCAGACACAGGACCCGGGTGCGATCGATAGAGCCGGTCCGCGAAAAGAAATATAGAATCATTCTGAGCGCGACTACTTGGGACCGCGCTAGACGCACATCGACATTGCTGGCCCAACGGACTCTAGCTGCATGCATGCATCGCGGCACCTACTCGATCATCTGGCAGGCGCGTTGCGGACAGGCACATGATATATCCAAAGACCTGGGAGCGGCTTTCTTGGCATGCTGCGATACCAGAAATCCATGATACCCCACATTCCTGATTAATTATCGAAAGGGCTGACCGCTCATCCTCAATCTATTACGCCCTGGCGGCTCGCCAAAGCTATTGGACACCTCGCGAACACTGAAAGCTGACTGGCAATTCAAGTCATCGGTGGATGTGGACTGTCAAGATGATCACCAGTCGCTTAAACCAGTGGAGTTGAAATCTTCGCAACTCGCTCATATCTTCTCAAACATTGGATGCCTTACGAAGTTGTTCGTTCTCGACATCGGAGGTGTGTGATCTTCGCATCCGCCTGATCCTCCCGTACCTCAATCACTGCTCGGCGAGTTTTATGAGCGCATTAGAACCAATACAACTATGCGACTTAGATTACACTGCAGCAGAAGTGCTGGCTCCGTGCATCCATGTGGAAATTTCGGCTTTAAGATGTTCAACGAACTTAGGAGTATAAAAAGTCTAGTGAATTCCTCATAGAAACGTCGAATAGTCAGAAAACCCAGTTTAGAGCCGCAGGTACACCGCGGTCTTTGTTTGAAGGCCTCTCTTCTACTTGGGTCTCCACTTGGTTGCCCCTTCACATCTCCTCCTACTTCTGACTTGCTACTTCTCGCCCACTCTCTTCTGCACCTCAGTATCTTCTCAACTACAAATTTCCAAACATGCGATACTCAACCCTACTCCCGACTTTGTTAGCCATCGGCTCAACTCTCGCAAGACCAACCCAACCCGAGATCGCCAACACCACAACCCTTCCCATTCACTTCGGTCTACTCATATTCCCACACTTCCAAGCTCTCGACATCTTCGGCCCCATGGACGTCCTTAACTCGCTCTTCATGTACTACCGAAACACATCCATTGTGCCGCAGTTTACAGTCTTCAGCAAGACCATGGATCCGGTGACGTCGGCCATGACGGATGGAGGATTTGGTCAGGAAATTTTGCCCACTATGACATTTTCTGATTATTTGGTGAGTTATGATGGTCGTGTAGAAATGAATACGACTAATCGGAAGAAGAACAAGCAATACGAAAATGGTAGTGGCGAGATGCCTTCTACGCCAGACAAGGGCGCAATCGATGTCCTCTTCGTCCCTGGCGGAGGAGGGACTCGTAGAGACATGACTGAGGAGATTAACTTCGTCAAAGCCACATACCCAAACGTGTGTACCCATCCTCTGACTGTCCCTTCCAATCACTAACAAGCTACCCCACAGCTCAAATACATCGTCTCCGTCTGCACCGGCGCCACACTCCTTTCGCGCGCAGGTATCCTCGACGGCCGCAAGGCAACCACGAACAAGGCTGCTTGGCCCTGGGCTACATCGACCGGTCCCAACGTAGACTGGGTGCCGACTGCGCGTTGGGTCGAAGATGGCAACATTATCTCGACCAGTGGAGTTTCTGCAGGTATCGACGGAACGTATGCGTTTGTTAGTCGCGTGTATGGGGAGGAGGTTGCGCATTTCTTGAGTTTGGCGTTGGAGTACAACCGTGAGCTGGATGCGCATCATGATCCTTTTGGCAAGGTTTGGGATGTTCCGGGTGCTACTTAGATTAAGGTGTGTCGTAGGATGAGTAGAGTGAGAAACCGATAGGAACTGGTGGTGTATGGGGATATCCAATAGGATAGCCCAATCTCACTGCATCTGCGCCTGCATTATCGTGCGTCTGCACAGCCGGCTGACCGGTAGCCTTTCAAGGTTCTCTACAGTCGCAATTTACTCTCTATTTTCTCTTCTGTTCTTCCCACATACTTGACGCTTATTTTCCAATGGAGTCGTCTCTACAACTCCCAGATCACACATGTCTTCCTTTCCGTGGCGTAGAGAACGACGATAAAGCCTTTCGACCATTAAACCCCGAATCTAGAGAGATACGATGCGTTATCCTGTTGCCTGGATCTGGAGCCGACCCTATCGCATGCGAATTAGTGTATACCAGCATTGATAAAGATAATAACACCCGCGTTGAGTACGTTGCGCTATCGTACTGTTGGGGGAACGTCGAAGATACCGTGGAAATCTCGTTGCAAGGCCCGACGACGAACTCGTCCGATACGGGTGAGGAGCCCATCATCGTGCCCTTCCGAATCACGTGACACCTCCACTCTGCACTTACTGCCTTGCGTAACGAGAGACGACAGTGTTTCTGGATAGACGCGTTGTGCATCAACCAGCAAGACCCTCGTGAGAAGACGCATCAGGTTCTGTTCATGGGCAACATCTATTCGTCGGCTGAGTCAGTTTTGGTGTGGCTAGGCCCAGAAGATGAATACAGCCGCTACCTGCTGAGAGCGTGGAGAGCACATCTACAGCCTCTAGTCTACAGTTATAGCAGTAAAACGCTAGTCGACAAGATTTACGAAGAATTGTGTAAGAGCACACACACTTTGTGGACTGATTTGGAGCAAGACGAGGCACTCAGCGAACTTGCGCTCGACCTTGGTGAAGAGAGATTGGATGAGACGGCTTCACCCGACCGGTACAAACAAGCACTATGGATTAGCTTCGACGGGCTCTTCAGTCGACCATGGTGGAGCCGAATTTGGGTTGTGCAGGAGGTCTATCTGGCTCCTATGGATGAAGAAGGCGGTCGCAAGCTCGAGTTCCGAATTGGAGACCATGTTTTATACTGGAAGGAAATAATGCTGATAAACATGACACTGCTTCATATCATCAGACTACCGGATAACTACAACCCTGCTACACTGCCTTCCTGGGATGAGATCTGGAATCGCTGGAAATTTCTCATCTTCATGGGCGAGGCATACGGGCAATTCTCGTTGAGTGAACTACTCAAGCTGACGAGTAAATTTCACGCTTCAGATCCCCGGGATAAACTCTTCGCCCTGCTTCTCATGGCTACAGACACCAAAGATCGCTTCCGGCAAGAGCCTCTTATCAATCCAGACTACACCAAACCAGCAAAAGCTGTCTTCGATGACCTCATAACATTTTGGGAGCTAAACCTTCTAGCGCAAGTTCCACTTTGACGAGGGAGGGGCCGTGTACCTTTATGACTGGTGTGATTAGGATGGCAGTCTGCACGAATCTTCCCTATGCAGATACAGGTTTGTTGTCACATAAGCATTCTCAAGCATGTACTTACCTATAAATCTGCTTCAGACATGTGGACTTACAGTGTAATGATATCTAGAATGGACATGACGTCTCGATATACCAGGGATGTTAGTGAGACGGACAACGATGGTCAGCTTAGTATCCTAATGTCAGTCATTTGCACACAAGCGGGTAGCATACCATCACCATAGCCGACTTCGGGCGTTCTATTTCCAAAATTCGCATTAATGACAACATTCTAATGTACAGCTTCAGGAGCTTACTGACCTTTCATACTCCCGGTGGCACCATCCGGACAACCGTTCGTTAGCCACCAATGACCCTTCCTGATGTTGGCGATATGACTGTGGATTTGGGAACCGAGCATCCAAGGTCTACTGCAGGCGAACACCAGCAGTACCCTTCTTCTTCGCCTGATCATCAAACGCATTCCCCAACCCACCACCACCACTCCTACTAGCCTCAAGCGAACTCTCAGCCATCTTCTTCTTCTCAGCAGCAACCTTATCAAGTTGCTTCTTCGTCTTCGTGTTTCCACTACCCTTGCCGTGGAACTGGTGACTGAGCTGCTTGAAGGCTTCTTTCTGGTTCATGTGGCGGCCGTGTTCGTCAACATACTTGAGCTCAATGTTGGGCGTGTACTCCTTGTTAAAGAGCTCAGCGAGACGGCGACTCTCGACCATCTCGGCGCTCGTGTTGTTTTTGCGGGCCCATTCTTCGCGCTCGCGCGGCGTCATGTTGTTCCAGCGGGCGGAACCTCGTTCGCGCTCACGGGCGATCTTGCGTTGGCGCTCGGCGTCATCTTCGGCCTTTTTCTTGTCGGCAATGAACTTTTGGCGGTCGCGGTACATCGCGTTCTTGTCGGAGGCGTCGGATTCTGTGACCAGACCTCGTTGCTTGAGCAGGGCGAGAGTGGCACCCATACCTTGGTCGACAGTCTTCTCTGCCTCGAGACCTGTCTCAGTAATGTCGGTGGAGCGAGCGCGCGAGATGCTGCGGTTTCGGGCCTCTTCTGCTTCGGCTGCTTCAGCGTAGGATTGGCCCATTTCGACATCGCCGTCTTCATCAGCGACGGGCATATCGCCCATGGACTTCGTGCCCTCCGAGATGTGGCTGGACTTTCTACGCTTCCGGCGGGCTTCCTCCTCGTCGGCATCGCCTGCAGCACCTAGATTTTGTACGAACTCGGTTGTTTCGTCAATAACAAGGCCGCCATCACCATCTTCTGTGGATTCCATAACGTCTGGCTGGGGTGTTGATGCGTCTTCACGTAATTGCCGTGCAAGATCTTCCGGTCGCATCTTCTTGCGCTTCTTGAGGGCCTTTTGGCGCTGTGCTGCAAGATTCGCTTGAAGGTCGTCGTCATCCACAAACGACTCGTCGAACACCTTCTTCTTCTTCTGTTGTGGTGCGGAGGATTCACCACCGTCAATGTCCATGTCGTCGCCAGCTGCAGTGTCTTCCGCAGGCATGGCAAGCATTTCCTCATCATCTTCGACGCGTTCTCGCTTGGATTTCTTGCCCTTCTTCTTCTTAGGCTTCTTCATCTTGACTTCCGACACGTCCATGTAATCGTTAGTGGGCGCGTCCTCTTTGAGTATGTCTAGACTGATCGCGACCTTCTTTGGTCTTGAAGAACCTGCGACTTCAGCCTGCACGTCTTCAACAGTTCGGCCCTTCCCGTCCAATGTGAACGCATTGCGCTTCTTGCCCTCAATCTCCTCGTCGTACTGTGCAAGTATCGACTTCTGGCCTCCCTCGTCCATATCGTTGGGGTCGTATGCGCGCTTTCGCTTCTTCGAATCGAGTCGCTCTTGTAGTCGCTCCTTTTCTCTGAGTTCAACCGCCTCTAGCTCGTCATCGTCTTCCCCGTCGACTGCAGTGTCTTTGAGAACAAGGATCTGATCTTCATCGTCGAACTGGTCGACCTCGTGTCCAACTTTGACACCAGCAAGGTCCTTGTCGGTATATTGCATGGCCTCGAGTGCCTGACGCTCGCGCTCTTCGAGCTCCTTGCGCATCTGCTCCTCCTTGGCGATCTTCTTCTGGCGCTTCTTGCTGCTCTTCAGCCAGGCCAGGTCATCGTCGACGTCTGCTTCGTCCGCCAGCCCCTTGCCCTCAAGCTTTGCAAAGCGCGCCGCCTTTTCGCGCTCCTTCTTGATCGCCGCGGCGCGTTCTTCACGTCTTATCTTGGCCAGTCGCGCTTCTTCCAACTTCTTCCAGTTGTCCGAAGCGGCGGCCTGGCGCGTGTCGATGGTGCTCGCAGGCTCTTCGTCCGAGTCGTCGCCATTTTGCGCCGCCTTGAAATCGAGGCCGGGGGCTGCGGGTGCTGCAGGCGTGCTTCCACCGGGGAGAGCAGAGAGACCCATAGACAGACGAATCTTGTTCGCCTCATCGATGGATAGGTCCGCCATGGCTGATGCGGTCGTGATGTCCTGTCGCAACGCAGAGGTTTATGGTCCTGGAAGGAAGGTTGTGACGGCGCCGGAAGTTCGGGATCTTCAATACACTTTCGAGCAGTGTACAGAAGTGGTGGTCGCAAAGAGTGAAAGCACACTTGATATTCCCCAAAGGTGAAGTTCGGTGATGAGTGCCTACTCGTGACCTGCGGGCAACATCGCACCTCCGCCCACACATTTCCCGCCAAGCCGCTACCCACTAGCGCGCCGGCGTTCAGCCGAGCGACATAAAAAAAGTTGCGCGCCCTCACCCATCGAGTTCTCACCACAACGCCCTGTGTCAACGTCTCCTGTCCACGTCCTTTCGGGGAGCCGTGTGATGGTTGAGATGTTGACAGTTCGTCCATCATGGAGCCTTCTTCCTCAATAGAACGCTTCGGACGACAGGCAGCGCAGAGCAACTTTGGCAGCTTCCGGCAGCCTGAGCTCACCGTTCACGCGGTTCGAGCTCGGTGTATGGTTGTCTGTCAGGCAGACTGATTCCGTTTCCCTTTTGCTAGGCCGTTGGCCACTGATGCTTGGGACTAACCCAGTCGGCTACATGCCATCTTCATGAGTGATGCTTTGCGATTGCGCAGCTTTGCGCTGGTTGATCGTGAAGTCTGATAACTTTCCATGCGACTAGCTGGAAAAGCGCAACGGACGCGTTTACGCGTTTTGGAGGAATTGCATAATGCGCGAAGTCATGTGAATGCGCTTGATGTGCGAAACATGCCTAGACGCATACGTAAGAATGAAAGCCGTCCTCTGAGTAGAAGCCGCTGCCTCATGCATCAACGAGCACCAACATGTCAAAATCATTGGGCACATGGTCTCGTATTGATGTCGTGAGTATGCCATACAATATACATATGTTACAAAATCTCAGCCCGAAGCCGCTAGATTGCAGTCCAAATGCTGATAGAAGACCACATAGCCTCCTCGTGGTTCTCATGTCAATCCTTGGTGACTTCTCCCAGACCACACACTTAGTTCGCAGCCGGTGCCTCACCCCTCGCCAACTTGAGCAGCTCAGCCTCTCTCCGCTCCTTCAGCAACTTCTCTCTGACCAGCACTCTATCCGCCTCCGACCTCTCCTTGAACTCCTCAATCTCCTTCATCTCAGCGAGCTCCTCCTCCGTTGCCTTGATTTCTACTGCGCCTATCTTCTCCACCAGTGCCTCCAAGATCTCGCTTTCCGACTGATCTCTCATGTCAATCGAGAACGTGGGTTTCGAGGTATCGGGTACGAGCGTATTGCGCGGGTTTGGTGTGGCGGACGGTGGTGAAGCGTCTGATTGTTGCGTTGTGGGAGAGTTTGTGGAGCCAGCCGATGGCTGTGTTTTGGTTGCTGTGAAGATGTGTAGGAGCGAGGGACCGTCGGGGTCGTTGTGTCGCGCAACTTCCATTGGGATGGATGGGTTACGGTATTTCATCCGGGGCAGCATATTGCGCCAGAATTTCCTGTTCGTAGAGTAAGCGCTCGATCTTGTCATTGCGTACAATTGCCAGCTCTCAAACATGGCGACTGATTTGGCATCATATTCCTTGCCGTCATCGGGTACTTGTAACAGAGCAATGCCAACATACCTTGCCCCTCTATGTCCTCCGTAGAGTTTTGTGTTGAATTCCATGCTAATCTTCGACACCTCTTTGGGCAGTATGAGCGCGCCTGGTCCACATCTTATCCATAATAACTGTCATAGACATGATTGTCAGCATTGTTACATCTCCGGTATCTTGAGCAGGTCGGGTGCGATTGTAGGCTTCGACGTTTTCGGAGGTGTCTGCGGAGGTGGATCTTACGTACGTGCTGTGGTGCTTGTTAGTCTTGCCGAACGAGTAGACATGCTCTCGGAGATTAGCTACTTGCCTCGCGTAGCTTGCGCATGCGCTTCAATATGTGCACCATGGTTGCTGTGATGTGATATTGGACTGGGGCTGCGGAGTTCGAGAGATTCTCGGGCATTGCCCGTAGCGCGATCTTGTCTTGGCAGCCCTGCAGATGAGATGCATCAACTGTTCACTCAAACAAGAACATTCTGTATAGATAGTAGTATAAGTGAGCATTGCAATGATTGAACGCCTTCCCAGGTATCTGAGCTACATTATTCTTCCACTAAACATATCCAAATCTCCATCCCCATTTGCCGAGTATTTCCACGAGCCAGTCCAGAACATGTCCAATTCCAAGACTTTATTCGCATCGCTCTTTTGGGTATTATCTGAGATCGCGCACAATGCTTGTCACGTTCCTGTTGTGCGACTCTAGTCCACAGGAAGCAGGAGTGTAGGCGTTTACCGAGCAGGTTGTGCGGCGGCGGCACGCGTCTCTGCGGGAGTTGGTCCTGCCATGCGCTTGCTCCTGTAATTGTAATTAGCATGTGTATTTCATCTTAGAGTAGTTCGGCTTACATGAACGACCTGCTGAGGAAGGAGATGATGATCATGGGCATCCACGAGGGCATCTTGGAGAATCCCCAGGTGACGTATGCGTAAGGAATGGCAAGGTTGTACAGCTGGAGAGCACCGTTGAAGGGGTGGAAGGGACCCTCGTATGGGGTGACCTGCTCAATCTCGTTGTCGACGATGAGCTTCTTGAAGGTCTCGGTGGTGGTGCTGGTGCGGTTCAAGGGCTTGTAGCGAACGACGGGGACGGGCGCGGACTGGTCAGCCATGGGCTTGGGGATCTGGAAGTAGTAGAGCGCCGGTGCGCCGACAGACCATGCGTTGCAGAGGAGAGGCTCGGTTTCGCAGTCAAGGTACGCAAACTTGGGCGCATCAGGCTTCGCAGCCATGATTGGGAGAGAAGCCTGGTTGATGTTAGTGTCGGTCATATGCATGTTCGCATGCTATACGTACGTTCCATGCCTTGGTTGCGTTGCCACACAGGCCAAAGCAGGTAGTGTTGCCGCCGGTGGTGAAGATGAGCCAGTCCTGCGTGGTAGGAGGGCTGGCGGTAGCATCAACAGTAAGCGTCTCTTTCCAGTTCTCCAGAGTAATTGGGTACTGGATGGCGGCAGCGGCGTTGGAGGCCACCTTGCTCGTTGCGGTGTCGACTGGCGCCGAAGGCATGGAGGGGATGGATGCGGACACGGCAGCCGTCGCCTTGTTGAAGAAGCCCTTCACCTTGTCAAGGAGAGGCACCTGCTCCTCGGCGACAGCGAGCGCCGGGAGAGCGAGAACGAGACCTGATGAGAAGCGCATGTTGATTGTGTGTGGGGGGAGGTGTGGTGTTGAACTGCGAAAGCTGCGGGTGGTATGCTTGCGCTCTTCTGCCTGATGATGCCACAGGGTCCAATTGGAGCGACGTTGAAGTAATGTGGGGGATGCAGCTCAACGTCAGAGGCAACCACTAACAAGCGTGAAGGAGCGGTAGAAATGTAGATACAATTGTCGCGCGAAGATCGCAAGGAAGTTCCCAGGTCGAGATAGCTAATAATATGAGGAATAGGGATGAGGACTAATAACCCGGCTCTTCTGCTCGAGCTTGGCAGTCCAGAGCTCTGCCGCGAAATTGGGAAGCCTGGGCCAACCGTTCGTCAACAGCCTTCACCATCACGGACCTGGTGCGTACGCGTTCACTCTTCACCAACCGGACGCGTTACAATGCACACATCCGCGAAAAATTGGACCAAATGACCTATGACGCGAGGATCTAATTGGACAAACATACATCAACAGTCTCTCACGGGTCTGCCTACACGGATATCCATTCCCAGCATTCCATCTCACCTCATCTCGTTCCATCCCGTCGTCATCATTTCCTAGTAGGCCCATCAAAGCTCCAGTCTGGTTGCGCAATGTGTGCCGCCAAAGTAAAGATGAGATCCTCCCCACTCTCTGACCTCGAAAGCCGTTGGAAAGGAGCTTCTATTGGCACGTCAGTACAGTCCTATGCAGCTCTAGGGATATGTCGACATACTCTCATCCTGCAGCTTCCGCGACACATTGGCACTCATCGACGTCCTAGAGCCTGCTGTTAGTAAGCTATTGCCAGAACCCCCTGAGGTCCCCGTCGTAGAAGGGTCAATACCTTGGCCCAATTTCCTCGCTAGTTCCTCTCTGAACGCCCTGTTAGGTTCTGGTCGATCATCGGCTTCTGATTTCGCGGAGTAAGCGGTACTCCATCCACTAGCTCCTGACACTGGCAGACGGTTACCAGCGTCCCTGACTTGAGCTCGCTCGTGCTCTTCTACCTCGCGACTGTGTGCTGTTTCTTCGTACAATACCTTACCCGCTCTCGGGTTACTGCTGTCATTTTTCTCTTCAGCTGCCACACTACGTAGTTTGCGTGGGCCAAGGATATCGCCAAATATGGCGGCCATATTGGGTGGACCTGCTGAGCGTGGTGGAGGGGGTCCAGGTGGAGGAGGTGGTCTTGCTGCTGGTGGAGGCGGAGGAGGAGGTGGAACTGGAGGAGGAGGTGGTGGAGGCGGTGGTGGAATTGGGGGAGATGCCGTTTGCTGGGGAGTTGACATCGGGATGCTTTGTAAGAACTCGGGTGAGAAACGATTTGGTGGCGAAGGAGCGCGTATTGGATGCGACATAATTGGTGACGACGACCCTGAAGAACCCTCTGTTACATCCGAAGAAGGAGGTGTATCTGCGTATGAAGGTATAACAGGAGAAGGAGGCGTATCCGGGTATGGAGGTATAACAGGAGAAGGAATGCTCTCTGGATATTGAGCGACCATGCTTGGAGAAGGAACGCGCTCTGGATATTGAACAGCCATAATAGGAGAAGGAACGCTCTCGGGATATTGAGCTGCCATAACAGGGGAAGGGTGTGTGCCCAGGTGCGGCACTTCATCATCAGCGGGCTGTTCATCATCCCCTCCATGCTCCAGATGATCATGGTCTCCATAATTTCCATATCTGTCTGGCATCGGCCAGTATGGAGCTTGGTCGTAGAAGTCTGCTGCTGCACCATGTTCAGACGCCGGAGGCTGGGCCGGTGGCACATACCGGTCGTGCGCTACTGGAGCAATTGGGGGTGTACGATTGGGAGGAGTATTGGACCGGATAGGTCTGCTCGGCCGTCTTGGAGCCGGTGGAGGAGGATATTTCGGAGCAGTAGGGGCCTGAGAATTGCGAGCCACCGGAGTTGACTGGGGAATGTAAGTTCCACTAGGTGCAGGAGGCTGGACACGAACCTTGGGAATCGGCGAGCTAAGGTTCTTCTTCCTGTCTTCCTCTTGCCTTCGCTTCTCGGCCTGCCTTCGTTCCTCATCCTGCCTTCGCTTCTCGTCTTGCCTCCGCTTCTCATCCTGCCTTCGCTTCTCATCCTGCCAGTGCTTCTCCTCCTGCCTTTGTTCCTCAATTTGCTTTCGCTTCTCATCCTGCCTTTGTCTCTCACGAAGCTCGTCTTGTTCACGGCGAGGAGTCCCACTAGCCGTAGGGGGCTGAACACGAATCTCAGGAATCGGCGAGCTACGATTCTTCTTGCTGTCTTCCTCATGTTGTCGTTTCTCACGATGTTCGTGTTCAAGTCGTTTCTCGTATTCACGGCGGCGCTCGTCTTGTTCATGACGATGGCGTTCCTTTGCTTCCTTTTCAGCAGCCTTTTGTTTCGATTCATCGCCCCGCGTCTTTTCAGGCTTCCGTTCGGTCCATCTGACACGCTCTGGTTCGCTCTTTCGTATTTTCTCCCTCTCTCTCCTTGCGCCTTCCCTTGGTCTGTCACTATAATCCTTCGCATCCGTCTTCATCTTCTCCCTCTCTTTCCTTTCCCCTTCTCGGAGTCTGTCACTGTAACCCTTCGCATCCGTCTTCTTCTTCCACATCCCATCAAGGACGTTCTCCAACGCACCTTTGGTACGGTGGCCGGCTTCATGCTCGGCTTTGATGTGCCTATAGGTGGCCATGAAGTGATCCCCAAGACCCATGGCAATGCCGCCTTTGCTTTTGTACTCGGGCAAGCTACCGAACGGTGTGCCATCTGGTCCTTTCTGCTGCCTTGTTGGAGATTGCGATGCGCCTATGCGACCTGGACGATGATCCGATTGTTTGGTACGTGAGCGGTCACGCTGATGTGAGCTCCGGTGCCCGCCAGACTTTCGACGATGAGATTGATGGGGTGTACGAGATCTTTTACGTTCTGTACGGTGTGCTTCCTTGCGTCCACGAGATCGCGATTGGGGACGAGGCTCAGGTGCCAAATCTTCCCATGAAGTTTGATAACCGCTGCCGCCACTTCCTGGCCGATCTCCGGCTCCAGGCAATGGAGCGTCTGTCCTCCTATGGCCATCATGCAAAGTATCTGCTGGTCCTGCACCACCGGTCATCTGATACTCAGAGTCATTGTTGTGAGGGGGCTCGGTGACTGGGTCGCGAATGTCTCTGCTCCGGTCACGTCGGTGAGATCTGGGGCTTCTGTCCCGTGAGCTGTGACGGTGTCTTCCACGCTCTTCATCCCTTGATCCAGAACGGTGACGACGGTGTCGATGTCTACCACTGGATCCATGACCGTGTTCATCACCGCGCCTGTGCCTACGATGCCTCCTATGCCCATCCTTCCCACTTTCGTCCATACCACCTCCCTTCCTATGTCTCCTGTGCTTCCCTTCTTCTTTCCCTTTCCCCTTCCCCTTCTCTTCTGCTGCCTTCTCTTCTTTGTAACTGCGATACAACTTCACACCCTCAACCACAGCTTCGATGACCAGTTTGGCACCGCTTTTCTCGTGACGTTCAGAAACCAGGTCTTGGACTTTTCCTTGAACTTGCTTGCGGTACGCGTCGTCGTCAGGCATTGGTAGTGCTCAGGTTGCGCGTGCGGATACATAGTCGGAAGGGACTAAGTTGGGTTATGAAGGAAAAGCATGTGAAGCGGAAGGGTTGTGAATGTGATGATCATGGGCTTAAGTGGCAGCGAGCGGACGCCGCTGCTGGGAATGTGGTTTGGGTTATGGAATGGAGTGCTGGGCTAGCAAACGCGGTGAATGTGTGAAGATGATGTGGCGTGAACATGCAATGAACGAACGTGGTTCTGTCATGAATGGAAGTGCAAATGCGAACGAGACCGAGGTCCATTAGCCAGCATTCAGGATAAACACACCGATGCTCGATCTGCGGAGTAAGGGAATCGAAAGCGCTGAAGAATTGAGAAAGGGGTAGAGTTGATCTTATTAGAATTACGATATTGAAGCAGAAGTGGACTTCCCAGAGCTTAGCTCGTCGATTTCTGCTCGAATGTATTGTTGTGTCGTTCTCAGCAGGCGCGTCATCGCAGGCATCGCAGTCGTCGTGCTAGGAGTGTTTAAAAAGACACTCCAGGTCCGCATGTTGGCCAAGTCCGAATGCCAAAACGCCGTCGGTATGCAGCCCATATCCATGTCCCTCAAGCCGTCTATGCTCCTTCTTCCCATCAAGATCATCCTCGTCCCGGATTCCACAGTATTACCACCCCCCATTCCAATGTCCGTCTATCTTCCTATGCGTGCACTTACTCCTTCTTCTTCGCTTCGCCCTTCTTCACCCTGACGCCCTTGCCTCTGAAGTCATTTGCGTCTAACGCATCTGTCTTTCCCAAGCCAAGGTCTTCAGCCTCCTTCTCTAGTTGTTGCTTCTGCTTCTTTGCGGCCGCGTTGAGCAGGTATGGTCGGATGAGGAGGTATGCACCGACGATGGCGATGATACGGACCCAGCGCTGGGCGGTCATCTCTTCGAATGACTTGATCGAGTTGTTGACCAGACGGTCCTTCCACTCGACCACGTTGTCAAGTACGTAGTCCATCTTGGGTTCGTGATGTGTGTATTCGCGATTGTAGTTTTGTTGCGCAGTAGTGTGAAGGAGCGACGTCCGGGTGCGATTACGGCTTCGTTGGAGGGTGACGCGAGAGAAGTGTTCGGTGACTTTTGCGATAGACTGATGCGTGTGGAATTGTGCGTGAAAGGCGATGTTGGCGAGGAAGTAATTGCGCGCAAGAACAATAAATCACTCAAGCGTGGACCCCCAGGCGGCAGAACCCTGGGCGGTGACTTTCTCCCCGGTCATCACCGAGGCCCCGCTATTGGCCCGCGTTAGGCGCGTCGCGTCACTCGTCTGGCCGGCAATTACACGCGATTGAAGTACAACCACGAGGCGACATGGCGTCCAACGATGATGCCAAAGCAGAGCGCGAAGAGGTAGAGAATTTATTGTTTCAATTGACGATGAGGTCGAGCTGACAATATGCACAGCGGCTCAAGTCAGCCCTCTGGTACTCAATCGGCCAGTTCGTTGACGAGAAGACGTTGGAGAACGACCTGAATGCAACACCTCAGTTCATCGGCGCGCTTACTGAGCTTGTATATACTCAAATCGGTACGAACTACCTCGAGTCCTCAGATACCGCTTAGACTACAGGGTGCTAACGCCATCACAGCAAACACAGCCCGCGACCTCGAAGTCTTCTCCAAACACGCCGGGCGCAATACGATCAATACAGACGACGTACTGCTACTTGGGAGACGAAATGAACAACTGCAAGGCTTGCTGGAGAAGGAGCTTGAGGATATCAGAACAGCCGAGGGCAGGCGGGCAGACGGACAGCCAGTTGCTCGCGCACAGCCAGCCGCGGCAGGGAAGAAGCGAGGTAGGCCTGCCGGTACTGGCAAGGGCAAGGCAAAAGCCTGAATATATTCGTGGAAGTATGTATGGACATGCCTGAATGGTCATTGCGCTCGGAGTTTTGGAGTTGTGGTATGATACCCTCGAGCACGCCTAGTGAAGGCATGCTCTGCACGTACATCTCGTGTAAACAATTATGATTGGACATTTTACGAGCCAACAACCAAACTTACAATAGTCATGCTCAACTACTGACTTTGTCTGTGGTTGCGACTACTCGGTGCGGCCAGTATGACACCCCAAGGCTAGCTAGCCCCTGCATCCGAGGGAAAGCGCCGGTACGCCAATCGATCGTCAGCACGCTGCGCCTTCCAAACCCATCCTCCACAGGCTTCTTCTCACCACCACTGCATTCGTCGAGATGTGTTATTCAGCCGTGGAAACGATACATACGCGCACGAAAGCGATGAAACGTTTGCTAATGATTCTTTTCGTAGGCTAATTGCAATAGATCATTGTTTGTGGATGCCACGCTGTTCATCAGAAGCAGTGCCTTTATCTGCAGAGCTTGCCTTCACCAGCTCCAACATACAGCTCTACGTTCCTTTCGTATATCGCTCCTCATACGCCCCAAAACGCCAATTTTGGTTCAGCACCAAGAGGTGGCGCCTCAAACAACCCCTACCATCAAGCCACGCATGAGTCGCCTTCTTCGATCCCGCGTTACAGCAAAGCAGCTTCAAAGGAGATGGAGGAAGCCCGGGTCAAGCCCGACTACCAGGACACAAACCACCCCCACTTTGCGCAGTCTTTAGGACCGGGTTTCCCAACCTCACTGCCTGCACGGAATCGAATGCCGCGAAAATGCATCCTTGTGCCGTGGGTACTTTTCGCCATTTTCTTCCTCATAACGCTGTGGTTCACTTCGATCTTAGCTGGCGCACGGTTCCTGTCTATCATCTATCCGACATTGCCAGTTTCTACGGTACAGGAGATTCATATCTACGTCAATGGAGAAGTACTTCAAGGGAGCGTCTCTGTCTCTACTAGAACTCTCGCATTACCCACAGACACTGTTACCTCCACTGCAGGAGCAAGCCCAACGGCACCAACATCCGAACCAGTACCTGACACGGGCAAGGAAATGGACGGTCTTTCTACGGTGCTTGAAGGACGTACCATACCAGCGCCTACAGGTTTCATCTTCAAAAGACGAGACCCATGAGGAAGACATTTTCTCCGACTGAGGTGCTGCCCCACTCCAGGCGCCGGAGCAGCGCGTCATGAAGTGCAGCCTCATCAAAGGTAGTGAACTGTAGATTGCTTTTGCAATGAAAGTCGTTCACCTGATTCATACGCACTCTCAAGCACATGTCACTCTATTTCTTTCAAACCACCGACTACTGCATCAACGCAGCCTTGTGAAATTTCTCCGGGTATCACAGAACCCGTCAGCTGCGTCTACGAGCTTCGGCAACAAGAACACCGAAGTTTTCATGTTCATCGCGACTCGCTGCAGGATCGTGTTCCCAGTGAACCGCTCTCGCAGTGTTTTGAAACATGCGGCTGCACAGTTGAAACGGATTCGCTAACCCAAAGTAGCGAGACTGGAAACGCTCGCTTCCCAGCTTCTCCACCACCATGCCCACCCAATCTCGGATGGTGCCTGTCGCATAAACAAGCATCGCGGACAACGCCCAAAAAGGGCAGACTAGCACTTCATCTAGATGTACTGCTGGCGTGTCGCCTCTTGGCATCTGTCAAGGCGATGTCGTTCCCGTTGCCAGTGGCTGGGATAGCGTGAACGGGTGTCATGGAGGATTCCAGGCGGTTTGTCCTGATCTCCGGGACTATTAATCTCATGCCAGGCGCCTAAGACAGGGAATAGATCTGCGTGGGGTGAGTACAAAAGCTGCCGTCGTCCTGACTTCTCCAACTCATCATTCCATCAGGCCAGTCCTTTCTTGCACAACACTCGTTCCGGTTTTTGCCAACTTCATTCTTTACACTACATTCATTTCGTGATCAGGCATCACTAGCATATCTTTGCATATCCAGTCACTGTACATATCACACCGACGACACAACTTTGAAACTTCAAGATGTTCACCAAGGCCGTTTTCACCAGCGCTCTCCTCTCCGCCGTCTCGGCTCACCAGAACCTTCACCAGCTCTGGGTCAATGATGTTACCCCCGGTTACCAGGTCGGCATCCGGATGCCACCTTCCAACAGCCCCGTCACCGACGTAACCAGCGACGACATCGTTTGCAACGTTGGCGGCTCCAAGGTCCCCTCCGGTGTCGAGACCGTTGCTGCCGCTGAGGGTGACACAATCAAGGTCCAATGGGACCAGTCCGGCCACCCAGGTCCTATCACCCACATGCTCTACGGACCCGTCGACGATGCTGCCCAGGCTACCGGTATCGGTGCCGGATGGTTCAAGATTGACGAGCTCGACCAAGTCGACGGCAAGTGGGCCAACGAGATCATGGGGGCGAACAACATGACCCACGAGTTCGCTCTCCCCACCGGTCTTGCCAGCGGCGAGTACTTGCTCCGTTCGGAGATGCTGGCACTTCACAGCGCCCAGACCGTCGGCGGTGCTCAGTTCTACATTGGCTGCATGCAGCTCAAGATCACTGGTACCGGCAGCGAGGGCTCATGCACACCTACCATTGAGCTCCCCGGCGCCTACAAGGCTGAGGACAAGAACATCTACATCCCCGACATCTACAACGGCTTCGACGCGACCACCTACAAGGCTCCTGGCGGCGCCGTTGCTTCCTGCGGAGGTGCCGGTGGTGCTAAGCCATCCTCTCCTGCTGCCAACTCGACCGTCCCTGTCTCTTCCCCCGCCGCCGCCGCCTCTTCTGTCGCCGCCTCTTCTGTCGTCGTTGCCGAGACCAGCGCCGCCGCTCTCCCTACCCTCGCTCCTGCCCGCCCCTCGATGAACGCTACCATCCCCAGCGCTGCCCCCGAGGCCCCTACCACCTTCGCTACTCTCGTCAAGCCGTCTGCCGGTATCGCTGCCCCCACCGGTGCTGTTCCCTCTGGAACTGCTGGTGCCGCTAAGCTCTGGTACCAGTGCGGTGGCCAGGGATGGACTGGCCCAACTGCCTGCGAGGGCACTGCCAAGTGCGTCAAGCAGAACGACTTCTACTCCCAGTGCCTCGCCTAAGGGAGAGGTTCTGAGACAAGAGATGGCTATGAGATTAATCGGGAGAAGGAGATGAGCTGGAAACTTTGATTGGAGATACCTTCTTGATGTTCATGTATATACCTTGACTTTGCAATTCTACTTCACATTACTTATTGTTCAAACCCTTTTCTGAAGCATGCGTGACGTAGACCCCCCATGGCACGGATTTGCTGACGTGAAGCAGAGATGGCGGGCTGAGACGCGGCCGTTGCACAAGAGGAAGGAGCGTCATCGACAGGTGGCTGGCCAGGAAGGAACAAAGGAGGCTTCCTTCTTGTTCGAGAACGTCGGACGTCCGGCCCCTGAGTGACGTCTTGCCGTGTGCTGATTCTTTTGCAGTCGTGGACGATCAGGTCGAAAACCAAAAATAGTGCCGAATGCCTGTCGCGTGTGGGAGACGGTGCAAGTCTCGATTCGCAGGGCGGGCGGAGAACGAACAAGCGGCGGCGTTAGTGCATGTTTCAGATTAACCTTATGTATGGCAGGCCATGGTGGGCTGTTTGTACCACCACGGCGCGCCTTGTGAACAGCTGGCCTGGCGGTGCGGCTGCATATGCACAGCAGCCAGGCATGAAGGGGGCGACGTCATGCAGCGTGTCAGAGTCTGAACTGTCACGGACTTCGTCTTCCATGGGCGGCCGTTGTTGGTGACGGACGGGGGTGGAGGTGTCGCTGTGGCTCCTCAGTGGCTTCCCCGAAGTTCAAGGCCGCGGCCAGGGTGCCAGGGTCGTGCTCCACTCTCTCTAATTCACCAACCCACGTCGCTGTCCCGCTCCTAATTCCCCATCACCACCACAACACCGCCGCGCCTCCCGACTTGTGCCCCGACGCCCGAGCAATACTACGTCTTAATCTCTATTCTCTACACACGCCCACACTACACGTTCCGCACGTCGACGGCAGTTGCCTTTCAAGATACCCTCGACCGACCCGCAGTAGCCTACACCGCCAACCCTTGCAAATATGGCGGACAAGACCGAAAGACCCACGAGCTCACACAGTTCCGACAAAGACGGCGTAAGCAATGCCTGTTTGAACCTGGCGGCAGCGGAGAGCCTCAGTGTGCGAGTTTGCTAACACGCGTGCGGCGGTGTAGGACGACTTCGAAGACGCTTCTGAGATTACCCCTCGCCCCGACTCACACTCCGAACGATCGCAGTCACGGTCACGCTCCCTCCTGCAGCGAGAGTCTTCCAACTCCACCGTACAAGCCGGCAAACCAGTCTCGCCCAACCCTGCAGTGCCAAAACTGCCCAAAGAGGAGAGCGACGACAGCGAGGAGGATGACGACGATGATGACGACGACGACGAGGATGAGGAAGAAGATGACAGCGAAGAGTCAGAGAGCGAACCCGAAATCGTCAAAAAGCCTACCGAGACTGCACCGGCAGCCAAGTCACCACTCTTGACTGGACACAGGGTCTCAGTCACCTCAGACATGGACGACGTGTCGTTGGATAGTGGTGAGTACACCCACTCTGTTTGGCATAATCTAGGGCTATGTGATGTGTGCATGCTCGGCGAATCATGCTTTCAAAGCGAGGGCGCCCCGCATTCATTCACTCCGTAGATACAAATGCGTCACGCGCGATTGCATGCTGAGCGCAGAATCTGAGCTGACTCCCTACAGAAGGCTCCAAGGCTGCCGGCATACTCCCCAAACTACCACCGCGAGACTCTCGAGACTCCACAAGCTCCGCAAGTGGCCTACAAGGCCTTTCAGGCACAATGGCACCCGTAAAATTCCCCCCTCCACCCGCACCGCCCGCTGTACAAGAGAAAGAGAAACCCGCGCCAGCACCGACGACCAGGAAGCTCACAGGCCCCTTTGCGTGGCTTTCGAGAAATAGTTCCAGCAAGAAGCCAGAGTCTCCACCCACAACTACAACAACTGCCGAGCGACGTCATACTGGGGCATCTATTGCAACCATCGGCAGCAATCCTGAGCTCACTTTGAGCAGGATCGAAGATGAAGGAGACATGGGCTCCAAAAACAGATCAAGCCAGGGCAGCCTGCGAGATCGCTTCAAGATTCTGCGGATGAGGGAAGAAGCGGGCATAACACTGGATGACACAACCGGAGAAGGCAGTCCAGCAGCAGCATTAGCATCACCGGGCCTCGGTCTCGGCATTGCCAGCCCCACCCCTCTAGCTGAGGAAGAGCCAGGAAGTCCTCCAGCGCTCGCAAAGCAGCCTACAATAAATCCCAAGTTGGCCCCCGGTACTGCTTCTGGTTTCGCCGCTGGTCCGGCAGGAGATGCGGCTGAGCCTGTCGACTGGGATCTATGGCAGTCAGTGGTCAATGAGGGCCCAGCCGCAATCGCGCGTACCAGCTCCGAAGAACTGAACCGCGCCATCGCCAGCGGTATCCCTCAAGTCATCCGTGGTGTTATCTGGCAAGTGCTGGCGCAAAGTAAAAGCGAAGAGCTGGAGAGCATGTACAGAGAGCTAGTTGCTCGTGGAACAGACAAAGAATATATGAGCGTCAGGAACAGCACTGTCAGCACCGGCCAAGCCAGTGCGAACGGAAAGGACTCCGTCGCTTCTTCCTCGTCTTCTGTGCATTCCGACTACTCGAGCCCGGCCACAACAGCCGCTAGCACGACCGCACCATTAGGCTCGCCATCACTCACCTCGGACGAAGATCCCATCAAAGTGCAAGCGAGGCTTGCGGCGGAAAAGAAGCAGAATGCAGTCACCATCTCGAAATTAGAGAAGGTCATCAAGCGCGATCTCGGAGCCCGAACGAGCTACTCCAAGTACCTCATGGCAGCTGGGCTACAAGACGGTCTCTTTGGCATCTGCAAAGCCTATGCTCTGTACGATGACGCTGTTGGTTACGCTCAAGGCATGAACTTTATCGCTATGCCTCTTCTCTTCAACGTAAGTTCTCAAGTGTCTGGCGATCGTCACTCCCAACTAACTTCGGTAGATGCCCGAGGAAGAAGCATTTAGTCTCTTCGTTACGCTCATGAACAAATATCGTCTGCGCGACCTCTTTGTGGCCGACATGGCTGGACTCCATCTGCATCTTTACCAGTTCGAACGCCTTTTGGAAGATTTGGAGCCCGCTCTCTACTGCCACCTTCGCCGAAGAGAGGTCAAGCCTCAGCTTTACGCAACGCAATGGTTCCTTACGTTGTTTGCATACCGATTCCCGCTACAGCTCGTCTTGCGCATCTACGACCTAATACTCAGCGAGGGTCTTGAGTCTGCGATCTTGAAGTTCGGCATTGTGCTGATGCAAAAGAACGCCGAAACGCTGCTGGGTATGAAGGACATGTCTACCCTTACACAATTCCTCAAAGAGCGACTATTCGATGTCTACATTGACAAGGCTCCGTCAGCCAACTCCATTCTCGAGAATGGCTTCTTCGGTTCGACGGCCGGTATCGACAAGGAAATTTACCGCGCCGATACTCTCGTCAAGGATGCGGTTTCTGTCAAGATCACGCCAGAGATGCTCAAGCAATACACTGCTGAGTGGAAAGAACAGCAACGCGTAGAGAAGGAGCGCGAGACTGAACTTCATGGACTGAAAGACAAGGTCACGCATCTGGAACAGAAGGTTCGGTCTCTTGAGCATCGTGCTGAACAGTCCGACATGGAACATGTCCAGGTCGCTTCTGAGCTCATCAAGACCAAGGTCGAGAATGAGAACTTCGCTGAAGAAAACGAAACTTTGAAGACCAAGGTCTTGGAACTGCAGAAAATCGTTGACACCCAACCTGCCGAGGTTGAAGCACGGCTGAAGAGCGAAATGGAGACAGTCATGCAGAAGAACATTGTCGTCCATAACGAGAACCGCAACTTAGAAGACTCGATGGCCGAGATGGAGAAGGAGTTGGTCGATGTCAAGATGCAATGGGCTACAGTAAGTTGCAACCCAGTTCGATGTTGGGCATTACTAACAAGTCTTCTAGATCAACGAAGAGCACGAAGCGCTCAAGCAAAAGTGGAACAACATTTCGCAGATGATGAAGTAAGCCCGATAGTGGGCTCATTTTGCATCAAAGGCATCGGATTGACTTGCATACAGCACGCAAGCGCCGCCACCCGTTGGGGATCAGATCTATTCCGTCGCGTCGATCGCCCCTTAATTCGTTTCTAATGTCTATATACATGTCCGCCCCGCACGATACCGGTTCTTGCGGGGCCTTGTTGCGCGTTATGCTTTGGCATCATCAGTTTCGCATCACTATCTATACCTGTAGCTTGAAGGGACGGATGGAGATGCCTTCACTTGGATACGATCAGAATTGGACAGCTCGCATGGCATGGAAGCAAGGTGTTTAGGAAAGTGGCGATTGAATAAGCATACGTCTATCTCTATAGACTCATGGAAGGTGTTTCTTGCTGTGTTTCGTTGGCTTGTAGTATCTTATCACGGAAGCCTAGTTGGTTAGATCATCAATAGAAGCACGAAATGATTCAGCAGATATGTACATGCTTGCTACCAGCGAATGTCATGATACTACATATATCGTCCGTGCAGCTTTCGACCTACCATCCTTGTCATTTGCTACGCAAGCTGTGGCCTTCCAAGCACAGCACATCATCAGTCCATACCGCATCGGGAAGCCATAGTGAAGCACTAGTCTTCGCTTATCTTATCGTGAACCCTGCAGGAAAAAGTTACCCAACCCCACAGTCATTCTGCAACTCATATCGACAACGATACAATCGCAATTGAAGATGGCCGAACAAGCAACAGAAGAAGATATCCTCCTCGCTAAGCGCATCATCTCGGCGGCAGAGCGTCACGATGTGCCGGCGTTGACTGTCCTGCTCAAGGATGGCTCGGCAAACGTGCAAGACCCCACAGCAACAGTATCAACATCACCACTACACGCAGCAATCGCAGCATGTGGCAAGGCTGAAGACGGAGAGGAGGCGGGCGATGCCGCCATCCAAACCGTAGAGACTCTCCTCCAAAACGGCGCCATCTGGAACGATCTCAATAAGGAAGACGAGACCCCAGGATGCATTGCCCTCCGCTTAGGCCAAAAGAAGATCTACGAAATGATGGTTGAAGCCGGTGTCCGCGCTGAGATCCTCTTCGCGCGCCTGGAAGCACTCGGCATGGGCGACAACGACGTGGAGGAAGCATTCGAAGAAGACACCACCGAGCAGCCCGCCGCCAAGAAGCAAAAGGTCTCCGCCGAAGACGCCAAAGCCGTAGAACAAGTTGTCGACGAAAAGATTCTCGACGACGTCTCCCTAGACAACAAAGCATACCTGAAATCCCAACTCCGTTACAAGCCGGGTATCCTCCTCGACGAATCGGACAACGCCGTCATGATGGACTGGGAAACGCAAATTATGCAACGCCACGCCGAGACCCTGATCCCTAAATCTGGTCTTCGCACCATGAATGTAGGCCACGGAATGGGTATTGTCGATACGGCGATTCTCACGCATGACCCCGCGGAACACCACATTATCGAAGCGCACCCGCAAGTGCACCAGCGGCTGCGTGAGCAGGGCTGGTACGACAAGCGCAATGTCAAGATCCACGAAGGGAGGTGGCAAGATATTCTGCCCAAGTTGGTGGAGCAGGGCGTTGTGCTAGATGCGATCTACTACGATACTTTTGCCGAGGATTACAAGGCGCTCAAGGAGTTCTTCGCGGAGTATGTGGTTGCGCTGTTGGCCAAGGATGGAAAGTTTGGGTGGTATAATGGTCTGGGGGCTGATCGCCAGATTTGCTATGATGTTTATACCAAGGTTGCTGAGATGGATCTGTATGAGGCGGGCTTTGATACGCAGTGGGAGGATATAGATGTGCCGAAGGGGCTGCATGGAAGTGACCAGTGGGAGGGAACTAGGAGGCCGTACTGGACTATCGATGTGTACAGGTTGCCTGTTAACACTTTCGTTAAGTAAATGGCGGGTAGGATGAGGGTGGGCACGTTTATTACACATCACGTCAGGCCCTACGAGAACACGAACCAAAAGTACTGCAATGATGAATGACGCAATGAAGTGTACATCGAGCAACTACCTTATTTCCTTTATCCCTACGATCCAACACTAACCCACAGTTGGCCTGGTCGTGCACCAACGCAAAACATCAGACCCAGAAACAGCGATGCCCTCACTTCATACAAGCATAAAACTGAACACCCTAGAACCTATGTTGACCTTAGGTCGTCTACTTTGCCCAACTATAACTTAGTGTAGTCTGTAGACCTGTTCAGGTTATTCGTATTATAACGTAGGCTGTTGTTCCTAGGGCGAAGTCGCGCGCAATGATGTAGCGCTCCTAAGCTCCGGGTGCGTCGTCGTTGACGGCTTCGTCGGAAGTGGGAGGCTGGCTGACTATGGCTGGGACATCTTGTTGGGCAGCTTCTTCGTTGGCCGGGACGACTTGGATGTTGGAGCCGGCGAAGTCATAGAATTCATTTTGGTCCGCGGGAAAAGCTCCTGCCACTTCTGGGGGGTTCTGGTCGTTTGGTATAGCACGGGTAATCTGCAATTCTCCGTTTGCATCGAGAATGTACCTTGGGTCATGGACTCCCGCTTCACCTGGCAGGAAGTCATCGACAGCGGGTCCATGTTCTGCGTTTATGTTCTCGTCGTCGCGCTCCGCGTCGTCTTCACCGTCATCTTCCCCCTCGTCTCCATCCTCACCATCGTCTTGCGGGTGTGGAGTCGGAGGCGGAGGATGAGGATTGAACTGATCGAACAAAATGCCCTGGTTTTCGAACAACTCGATGCGATGCTGATCCAAAGCGTCTTCGCGGGGCCCATGAGGAAGCATATTGACAATAGCGCGTTGGTCGGGAGTCAGATGCTGCAGGACTTCCCACTCAGGATCATTTCGCGCATCACCTTCTTCCTCGTCATCTTCATCGTCATCATCAGCCTGACGCTGCGCCTCGTCTAGTGCACGAGCACGCAGGATTTCTTGACGACGAGTGAGACCTTCACGACTGAGGCCACTATCACGGTGGAAGCCGTCCTGGTTATATCCTTCCTCATCGTACTCCGCGGGTCCGTATTGCGGGCAGCCGTGCATCCCAGGCCAGTTCTCACCGCAGATGTAACAGAACGAGTTGCCGCACTCGCAGGTAATGTGATTGCATGCCTCGGCCAACTCCACGGTTGCGCCACAAACGAAGCACTCTTGATAACCCTTCTCGTTCGCGGTCTGCTTGAACTTCTTGTCGTCTTCGTTCTGGTCGCACTTGTGATTCTGGGTTCCCTGGTCGAGCAACGTCCTGCACTTGACACAGGTCAACTTTCCGCACTCTTCGGCTTCGCAGATGGCGTATGTAATTTTCGATTCGGGGTCTTCAACGTGGTTTCCGGGGGGTAGGAATTTGGCGCAAGCTGGGTTTGCGCAGTATGTTCGGAATCTGTTCAAGTATTAGCTTAATCCAAATCTGTTGCTCGCACGTCGACCTGAGAAAAACTGAATAGGTCTGTAGCCTATATTAATATGGAAACATGCAAAGCAGGTAACCTAACGCCGATGTAGCCTCCAGACCTGATCAGTTTTCTTCTTCTTTTAGGACTTACTTTGCCAGGATTGTGTACTCGCCCTGCTGTTTCACCTGGTACGCCCAAGAGACCTCCCAGGGCAGATAGTCCTCATATTCGTCTAACACAAACATAACATCGCAGCACTGCGGTGGGTATAGACTCTCGTTATTTGTCGCATTTTCGAAAAAGCTGGCGAGATCGTCGGCGCAGACCAGATGGCGCTTGCATGGAGCTTCGATAAGTAGTTCGCTTTCGCTCTCCTCTGTGCCGCAGATTACACAGCTCTTGGACATGATGGCTGATTTAGTTGTAGTATGGTGTAGATTCCTATCAGTTGAAGGGGGCTGCGAAGGTGATCGTTCGTCGAGCGCCGTGGTAGAGTGGTAGAGTGAGTTCGGTACCGAGCGCGAAATAGTTCAGGCGTGTGGAGATTATGTAGAAACAAGGCAGCACGTGGTGTGTGAGGCGAGTGACTTATTCACAAGGGCAGAACTTACGCCAAAGTTGAAGTGAATGCCGACAGACTTGGACCCGACTAGCTAGCCCTGAATGCGGTGTGAAGGAAGCTTTGTACCTCTTCACATATCCTGATAAAACAACGACCGATCAGTTCGATCGCAGTTAATGACCGTTGCTTTGAAGACAGACGGCATCCACAAAATGGCAAAAAAAACCGGTTCCCTTGTTGCTGTATGGTATGATGTACGAGAGAAAGATGACGCGACAAAACATGCGCAAAATGGAAGCAAAATGTAGGTTGATGAATGCTAGCTGAAATACCAACAAAATCACAGCAGCTCACTGAGAAGACATATAAGGGAAGTGCATCCCGATATCAAAGCTCGAGATGCCCATAACGGGAATGCCAGGCAGCCATCGGCCGGGCGCAGGGGTCGACTCGCAAAGCCATGTGTGCAGCCTGGAAAAGACCCACACAGTGCGATGGCTGACTATCCAGGCAGATTCTATATAGGGAATGATGAAGAGTCCGAGGTGGCATCAGGAATGTGTGGTGAATGACAGGGTCCAGAAATCGTGACGCGACGTCACGTGGAATTTTAGCCGGCCTGATCGTGCACGGATGCACAACATCGAATCGAGAGACAGCGATGCCCTTACCTGTCTCCTTCCAACGCACAACGACACATCTACGCCACCTCATGTCTCGCACTACGATAACGTCGATTGATTTGCCGCGTCTTTATCATGATAAAAGTGGCCCATCGCTACATGCATCGACAAGTGGAGGATTTGGTAAGAGTTCATAAGTTCTTGAACTGAGAGAAGCCCAGGACGATAAGTTGTATGTACAAGAAGATTAAACTACGCGACACCCCTACGCACGGCACATGCGTCCGTCTTTGCTGACCTTCCAAGCCTCACTACCAACACCCTTGAGGATGTAGAGAACATCCTTAGGGTCGTACTTCTTCTTGATGTCCTTCAGCTTGTCATAGTTCTTGCCAAAGAAGGTCTCCTTCCAGTTCGGCTGCTGGAAATCTGCCTCATTAAGGTATGAGCCACTGCCCGGAGTAATGGCTTCAATCTTAGGCATGAGCTCGTTGGTCATCTTCTGCTGAGCTGCCTCCATGGTGGCCCAAGGAGCGGTGGAATCCCAGTTTGTGATAAGTTGCAGCTGGATCATGGCGTCTCTCCATGCGGGCAGTACGCCATTGTCGGCGACTCCAGCGGGCTTCTTGTAGTTTGCTGAGCTACCAGCAAGCAAGACGCCTTCTGCGGCAAGCTCTTGGTAGACCTTGACAAGGTCGGCGGTCTTGTTCTCGACCACAGTTCGGGGAATGAGACGGCCACCAAACTGGTATCGGTTGACTTCGTATGCGCCGCGTGGGAGAGGGCCCATGTAGCGATCGAAGTGGTCGCGGTAAGACAGCTCGCTGTAGACGATTGGGGGCGTGATGCCGAGATCTGTAAGAGCTTTGGCATAAGGCGCAAGCACCACGTCCTTGACGTAGGCAGCTGTTGAGTCCCAGACGGTGACGGGCTTGATCACAATGTACTGAGTGCTGACCAAGAAGACGACCATAGCACCAGCGTCGATCATCGCTGGCAAGAGCTCAATCAGCTTGGCAGTTGCTGCGGCGTACTTCTCGGGGGTGGTGGACGAGGCGAGAAGCTGCATAGCAGCACCACCAACCTGCTTGGCTGGGTATGCTCGTACAGTCAATGAGAGGACGATAGCATATGTGCCACCACCACCTCCGCTGAGAGCCCAGTAAAGGTCGGCGTTCTCGGTTGCTGAAGCAGTGAGCATCTTGCCCTCAGCAGTCACGACCTCGAAGGACAAGGTCTGATCAGCAGCAAGCCCGAACTCAGTGCTGAGCACCGAGTGTCCACCACCTTGGGTAAATCCTCCTGCTAGACCGACAGTAGCGCATTCACCAGACACAACACTCATGCCTTGCTTGTGCACTGCCTCGAGCAACTCGTTGCCCATCACTCCAGCGCCAACGGTGACCGACGGGCCAGTGTAGTGCTCATCGGACCAGTCGCCGAAGGCGATGTTCTTGAGACTTTGGGTCCAGATGGCTAGAGCGCCGGCTCCGGTAGATCTTCCAAGGAAATCATGCCCAGTGTTCCGCACAACCACACGAATTTTCTGAGCTTTGGCGAACTCAAGAGCAGAGACGACATCCTCAGCCTCGGTAGCTTTGACAGAGTACGAAACGTAGTTGCCCAGAGTGCACGGGATGCTCCTATCGGAGAATGGATCGCAGCTCTGATTGGCAAAGTACGACTGCATTATCGAGTGGGAAGACGGGGTGCTGCCAAGAGTATTAGAGTTCTACCCCAACATGTAAACGGAGCTCTTGCACTTACTGTATCAGCGGGTTGAGCCATGATGACTTCAATGCGTCGCAAGCGTCGGCATCGTATGTCGGATCGTGACACGGGGAGCCAATTGGGACAGTGGCTACGAGCTTCCCGTTCACGGTCGAGTTCAGTGTCGACCACGCGTTATCGGATGGCCAGTCGGCATCGCTTGGCAGACGGTAACAATCCTGGGCGCTTCCAAAGCGAGCAAGGAGTAGGGCTCCAAAGAGCGCAGCGTTGTCGATGAGCCTCATCTTGTCTTGAAAGTGCTTGATGGCAGTGATGAATACCAAGAGCCTTGTCCCGACCCTCATATATAGCCATTGTTCCCCTTACTATCGTTTTCGCATTGCCACATGCTATTCTTCTCATCTCGGAGACCATCTCAAAGAAGAAGACTTAGAATATGTCTGCTTCCTCTGTAGGTTACAACGCCGACAGAGTCCACTTGAGACATTGTGCCACATGCCGATATCAATGCAAGGAATAGCCATGCACTGGGCTGGAAGCCGGCGAAAACCTCGTGCGGGAATCGATGGCCGCACGCGAGAATGACTTACTGCAGGGCAGAGTGGGCCAACCGATGAATGGGGGATTCGCCGGGTGGCCTAACGCTTGGGGGTGGACCCTCAACGACGGATTGCTCGCTAGGATTGAGCTTCATGAAACCGTGGGATTCGTCCTCAGGCGACACAGTGTGGCGCCAGGAACCGGCGGGCGTGCAGATCTTGGCGGGCATTCGTCGTCTTGGAACGTTCGGAGGGAACCTCATTTCGGCAGCCGTGCAGCGAACGAGATGTCTAGGTGCGCACTGAGCAGCTGTTATCGCTCCACGTGCTCGCCCGCCTCCAGGCCTCTGCCATTGCGCCATGCTCATCATCGCCCTTTCTGTCACATACTCGAAAGTCTAAAATCATCCTCCGTTGGCCATGGATGGTGGACGTTGTTGTTCAGGTTTTACCGTGGTTTTCGGTTGGCGTTTGTGGCGTTCGCAAGCCCATGACACACCGGACCGCACCCCACATTGCGCTGCACCGGCCTGAACAAGGCAAGACCCCTTTCTGGATGACATGCCGCCATCTCTGAAGGATGCTAGGTTCCGACCGTATATGCGCCAGCACTTCTTAACAAAGTTTGCGCTATTGGAATGCCATGGTCGGGTAGGCTTCTGCAGTCGGCACTTCATACCAATGACGGCAGCCACCATGGTAGCTACGACTCGTGGGTTTCAGTCCTGGGCCTTACAAGAGACGCACTATAAACCGCACGAGGGATCCCTGCGTTCATCATATTCGAGGATCACCTTCCGTTTAGAGGCGGAAGATAAATGGTGGAACCTGTCCCGCTGTCGCTTTACTTGAGACCTCCGCGATATCCTACGCACCCGTTACAAACTCGGGGGTCCGCCCATCTGTCTTCAACATTCGGATTGTCTTGCGCAAACGTGGCGTGAGAGCATCGACATGGCCTCTTTCATTCGCACATGCATGCTGTTGTGGCTCGTTACCATCTCCATGGTACATGCAGCACAGCAGCCAGCCCTGTCAAAGCTTCCCGCATGTGCTGTAAGTACCTTGCAGCCCAACTTCTTAACATTTCGCTCACCCTTGCAGCAACTGTGCCTCTTGAACGCTTTCAGTACGAACACCTGTTCTCCAACAGATCAAGCATGTATTTGCACGAACGATGTCTTCCAAAACAACGTAACGCTGTGTGTGAGCGCCAGCTGCACCATCCCTGAAGCTCTAGGTACTTGCACCTATCCCGACGGAAGAGAAAAAGAGGCTGACGAACATGAAGTTACGCGCAACATCAGCCTGACCACCTGCGGAGCCCCGGTACGGGATCGCGGACAAAGCTATGTGCTGTTGTCAAACGTCATGGTATGCATAGCTGCAGCCTTCGTTGCGATGCGTTTCACCTTCAAGGGCACCGTGTCGAGGATGGACTTTGGCTACGACGACTGGTGCGTGCTGGCGACACTCATAGCAGCTATACCCAGTGCCGTCATCACTGTTTTTGGCACTGTGAAGAATGGACTTGGCCAAGATCTCTGGACCCTGACACCGACGGAGATCACTCAGATGCTGCAATATTTCTACATCATGGCCTGGCTCTACTTCACGCAGCTTATGCTGTTGAAACTCACGCTACTGTTCTTCTACATCCGCGTGTTCCCCAGCAAAGGCGTTCAACGACTACTATGGGGTACAATCGTCTTCACCATACTCTGGGGTGTCGCCTTCATCATCGTCGCAATATTTCAATGCCAGCCCATCCAGTACTTCTGGACAAAATGGGATGGCATGCACGAAGGTACTTGTCTCGAAATCAACGCCATCACTGCATCGAACGCGGCCATATCCATCGCCTTGGACTTCTGGATTCTGGGTGTACCTCTTTGGCAGCTTTGGGGCTTGAAGCTACACTGGAAGAAGAAGGTCGGTGTAGCGCTTATGTT